ACAAAAAAGTTTCAAAAATCCAAAAAAATGTCAGCTTCAGAGGGGGGCACATCACCCCTCAGACTCCCTCTAAAAGTATTAACCGAATCGCACGAATCTAGGTTAAAAAAAAATCAGAGGAACCCCCCCCCCCCCCACACACACACACACACACACACACACACACGCACAGAGACACCCCCTGTGCGCGCAAGCGTGAAATTAACGCTGGCGCTAATGCGTAAGCAGGGCGGCGGAGCTATTTCCAAAGTGGAAAGCACCAACAAAAAAGGGCACCTACAAAGTGAAATCTCAAGGCGAAAATATACATTTTTTTAGACATTGGTATATACCCTTTCATTGTGATCCCATTATCAGGGACGATTTCAATATTTGTTTTTCTTTATATATCATACAAGTTATTGCTTAAGCATCACACTTTCGGCTGAGTGTGATTGTCTGAATATTCATTTGCGAGCGAGCAAAGCGAGCGAGAAAAATGTAAGATCTGTGAGGTCGCAGAGTGAAAAATTACATCTTATAAAAAGGAAAAAACCAAATCATGATGGGTTATAAGCATCACGGAAGACTGAAAAAACATTTGTTTTAAAGTGACATATAATTGTATCATCTATAAATGCGAGCGAGCGAGCAAGCTTTAGGGGAAATTACTCTTAGTCGCTTTAAATTAGTGCAAGACTAATGATGAGCAGGTTAGGGGCACGTGCCCCCCCCCCCCCCCGTGCCCCCCCCCCCCCCCATGCCTACGTGCCTGATGATGAGGGTTAAGGGGACACATATCGAAAGGGATAAAGACACTTATTAGAAAAGAAAAGGAGCATGTGTCAAGGTACAAAGAGTAATTATCAAGGTTTAAACTGGGCACTTCTTACACCTGAAAGGAGGCACTCACCAGAAATGAGATTGGGCACTTATGAGTATGGGAAATGGGCATTTGTCGACGGAAAAGGGGCATCCATCAGAAATTGATTTATCAGAGGTGAAAAGGGGCATTTATGAAAGGGGATAGGTCCCTTAATAGAAAGGAAAAGGGGCACGATTCAAAATAAAAGGGCAGTTAGCAAAGGTGAAAATGGGCACTCATCATAGATGAAAGAGTACCTATCAGGAGGGGAAGGGGTACTTTTCAAAGTAAAACGAGCATCTCTCAGATTTGAATAGGGGCAATTATCGGAGGTGAAGAGCGCACTGAAGTGAAAAGAATTAACTTCTCATATATGAAAATGGTCATTTACCAGAGATGAAAAGGGACACTTTTTATTTATGAAGGGCCTCATTTTTCTAAATAGCCCTTATCAGATAGGAAAGGGGGCACATGTGTTGATGAAATGTGCGCTTATCCGAGTTAAAAAGGGGAAGGGGCACTTCTTTACAAAGTAAAAGTGGCCCTTTGGGGAGGGGGGTACTTGAAGAGTGGGGCGAACTTTGCCCCCTACCCCTGCCACCCGCCCCATCATCTGAAAATCCAAAATGATGTTGTAGGGGCCGGGCGCGGCTTTATCATGAGTGCTTTTATGTGAACCTCTTTTTTTATAAATATATTATGCTGGATTCCGACCCAGATTGCACACTCTAAAATGATAGTATGATCATCCCCAATACGCTTGTAGTTCACGTATGCACCCCTTCCTCCTAATTCGTCGTTACCGTCACTGCCATTTACGTATGGCCGGCCGGCGTATTTTTATTTACACGCTAGCGAGGGGAATTTCTCGATTAATTCCAATGAACATCCAGGAGAAAGTTTTCTTAACTTTTTCTTGAAACACTTGAACGGTTATGGAAACTGTTTGTGTTTCTAATCTCCAAATATTAATATTATTCTGCATCAAATATAAAACATTGATTTCTACTGTGATATGTAAAGGCACGAACTTACGTTAATACATACACATAATTTGTTTGTAACCAAGAACTTGGGTGCACCATGGTAATACATTTTAACAAACACATCAACATGTTACCTAGACAACTCATCACCATAGCCATTGTAAAACCATATATTAATGATACATGTAAAATATAGATTGAAACAATTCTCGTCGATTGGCTGTATCCTGAGTGTGATTTATATAATGGATTTTGAGTAACATTTGCATCTACCTGTAGTTGAAGAATAGATACAGTGTATAACATCAATTAAGTTGGAGTTCAATTGGAAGGAAGTAACGAGGAATATTAAAGCAAGGGAGACTGGGAGATGAGGAAAGCAGGAAGTTAGAAATTGAGAGATTACTCGCGTGATAGCCTTGCATTAATGAATCCTTTATATAATGTTGTCTTGAGAGAAAGTAGACGATTTTTTTTTTAATTGGTGCTAAAATTGGTGTTAATTAGTGCAAGTATTAGATATATTGGAAATAGAATAAATGAGAAATTTATTTTTTATCGAGATCAATACATGGGGGGGGCACCATCAAAATAGGGCACTTTCTGGAATATAAGGTGCACCTACAAAGGGAAACATCAAAATGTAAATCTACCATATTAAGACATTGATAGACGTACGCGCAACGCATGTCACACACAGAAAAATGAGAAGAAAAGAAAGATTTTTTTTTTTTTTAAAGAAGATAGAGGAAAAGGAGAGAGACAGAGAGAGGGAGAGAAAGAAAGAAAGAAAGAAAGAAAAAAGGAAGAACATGAAACTTAACTTTACACTTACACCTACATATTACATTTCCGACTGAGTTGGCTCGACATGTGCTTAAGTAGTCTGCGGACGAAAGTACAACAATACGAAAACAGAAGTTATATGAAATTGTCTTTAAGAGAGAAAGAGAGGTTAAATTCTAAAATGAAATGAAAGGGGGTATGTGACTCTCAAGGAGGAAATTACAATTTCTATCGCTCATGACGACTATTTGGAATTTCCTAATTTTGTTTAAAGTTCAAGAACTTCCTGGGGCTCCGCCCCATGCAAGACTCCCGGCAACAGCGAATTATTTACACAATTTCTTGCTGTCTGCTGCCTCGAGATCACTGGAGCGAAGAAAGGTAACATATAGCAAGAATCCCTATTCAGTGAAGGATTTATCCCTTTTATTATTAAAGACTCCCGACAAAGGCTCTCCCCCTGCAAAATTGGAGAGAGTTTTATGTAGTTTAAGCTTCTAACAACCACGCCCGTGGACTTTTTATTATTTACACAAAGGTAAAAGTGTATAGCAAGAATCCCTATTCACTTGTGCGATTCATCCAAATAAGAAATCCACGTAAGAGGCATTTTGAATGTTTTAAGAAAATTCTTTCAAATTCCAGGATATTGGGTGTTCTTTTTCAGGAAACTCTATTTAAACGAGTGGAAGCACTGGCGGTTCTGTTTTTTTTAAACTGTAACAATTCTCCTTGGATCAGACCAAAAACAAGCCTCATTATCTTCAGTATACAAGTGTCATTTCGGACCTTACAGCTTTCATAGAAATCGCTTCTGGACCGTCAAAGAAAAAGTTTGAGAACCCCTGGTCTACGCATTATACACATCAGGACCAACTTGACAACTTGACAAAAATTTGAGGGGGGTTCGACCCCCCCCCCCCCCCCCTCTGCCTTATCCATCGTTACCGTCACAACCAGTGGCGGATCCAGGGGGGGGGCCTTGAGAAAAAAAATCATGTAAAATCACGTGATTTTTACCTTTTTGGGGGGTTGGGCCCCCCCCCCCTGGCGCTCAAGGGGGGGGGGGGTGCAAATTGAAATTTTTTGAGGATCCAAAAAAAAAATGTGCTCACTACCCCCCCCCCCCCCCCCCCCCCCCCCCCCCCTGGCGCTCAAGGGGGGGGGGGGTGCAAATTGAAATTTTTTTGAGGATCCAAAAAAAAAATGTGCTCACTACCCCCCCCCCCCCCCCCCCCCCCCCCCCCCTCCCCCACTGAGCGAATTTTTTGGCCGGCGCGTTTTTCAAATTTTCGGGAGCAAAAAAAAAAAAAAAAAAAAAAAAAAAAATGTGCTCTGTACCAGCCCCCCCCCCCCCCCCCCCCCCCCCCCCCCCCCACTGAGCGTCTTTTCGGCTGGCGCGATTTTCAAATTTTCGGGAGCAAAAAAAAAAAAAAAGTTGGGCCCCCTCCCCTAAGAAATCCTGGATCCGCGCCTGGTCACAACCATTTGAGTAGGGCCGGCCCCTCCTTAATTAATAACGACTCCCAAGCCATCAAGAATGACCCCGTAATTTATAGATTACCATTCTGCCGTTCTTTGGAGGGGCCGGGCGCGGCCTTTTCAGAAGTGTTTCTGCACTAACCTTTTCATGCACTCCGGCTTAACATAAACAAGCATGCTAAGATTGTTTTGAAAAGAAGCATAATTTCGACTCAGTTTCGCATAACCTAAAAATAAGAATACGGCCAGTCACCCCCCCCCCCCCCCCCCCCCCCCCTCCCCTTAATGCATCCGCCTTCACGCACCCCCTTCCCCTTGTCTTTCCCTTATTCGTCGTTGTCGTCGTTACTGTCACTAATTTTTAGTGCCATTTCGTTGTCTTGCTTTCTCCCCGGCTCCTCTCTTCTTTTTCTTTCCTCTTTTTTGAACTCTCTCTCTCTCTTTTCTTTACTTTTTGTTCTCTTTTCTTTTATCTTCTCCTTTTCCCCCTTTTTTTCCTTCTTTTTTTTCTTCCTCTTTTTTCCTTCTCAATTTTTTTGCTTCGCCAATAGAGCCGCGGCCGTTTCGGCCCACCCCTGGATCCGCCACTGATGTTTTTCTCTATATCGAACCCTCAGAAAAGTTGTCAGAATTTAATGCCCACGAGACTGACTGCATGTCAGTCTTGTGAATCCTCAAGTCATTTTTCCAGAAGACTAGCTATGTGGTGTAAAATCTTATCATAAGGATATCAAATCTGAGCCAAAAATTAGTTTTTTCCACTATAGACAAACTAGCATTTTGCATAAAATTACACCTGACAATAAGGATTTTTCGTGTATGTACAGCAGTAGTTCCGTCGATGATCGAAACGTATTGGTCGCCGATGCATGGCGCTTATTGGTCGCTAGTTTCGATTACAAAAGGAGTCCAAATGTGATGCCGATAATTATGATAGTCTGTAGGCCTACATCGTATTATAATATTTATTAATCTAGAGGTAAGAATACTCACCGTTTAATTTGTGTGAATATTATTAATAGCTCGGTGTCAATTATTTCGCTCCTTCACCTGTAAATTGTAGATCTGACCATAGATTTCAAAATCAAATCACGTTATTCTCGCAGCTAAAATTCAGATAAGGTCCCACATGTAGTAAATGGTGTCGGGTCAAAGCAAATGTTGAGCTAGACCGAAAACTTCAGTCTCTCTAATCGTCGGTTGTTCCACTGAGACTACGTCTGGCTCCACTAGACCTCCGATTATAGAGACTGAAGATTGTCCTATCGGGACTGTAGGGAACCAATGGTTCGGTTCGGCAGGACCGCGATGAATGAGATATGCTACGAGATTTTCACTCTTTACATCCTCACACATCTGCACATGCTGCAATATGACAATAGATTAATTAGAGTCTAATTAAAAATAACATAGTCTAGTCTATATATTAAATATAGCTTATTTGACTTACGATAGCTTGCTCATTTAGATCCTTAATTAATGATTAATCCGAGAAAGTCTCGTCGTCAACATTATCCGTCTTGGTTTTAGTTGATGAATATTAATTTTTTCTTTTCGAACGTCCAATAGCTACCGTAGCTACATACGAGTCGGCCTGGCTGCGACTTTGCGTTTTACACCCTGGCCTGGACCTTTTCCCAATAAATTTCAAGGAACCGACTGGGAAAAGTCTATCCATGACAAGATATTGCGCGCGCACGTAGCTCTTCTGCAATGCTCAACGTACGTCCTATATGTCCAGTGTCGCGGTACGCGGTACATGTACTTTTGTATCGAGACGTACGAGTGAGAGAAAAACAACGAATAACAACAGAAGGAAATAGAGAAAAACAATAAATAATTAAAGAACAGAGAGGAAACAAAGAATGTCATAAGCAGAGAGAGAAAACAAAAACTAACTTGAAAGAAAGAGAGAAATTAGAGAAGGAATTAATCAAAGTAAGGAAAGAGAGAAACCAAATAATATTATGGTTTTTGTGGTTTAATTCCGCCTTCTTCAGGGTTTCAATTTTTGACGTGTAGCCTACTTTCAAACCATTTGCTGATTCGGACCCCCCCCCCCCCCCTAACACACGTGTACACATATCGACACATACACAGACTACACTCGACATGTGTAATGGTAATGTAATACATAAACTGTGATTTAAATATTGCACTCGTACCATTTTCTATTATTGTGGGATCACGTCTTTCATTTTTTAAATTCATGTCATTTGTTTCTAAGACCTAATTTCTCTAATTCTCTTGACCCCTCTCCCTTCATATTTGTTTTCTAAGACCTCCCCCCCCCCCCCCCTCATCTCTCTTCATATTTGTTTTCTAAGACCCATTTCTCCCCCGCCCCCCCCCCCATCTCTATTCATATTTGTTTTCTAAGACCTCTCTCTCTCGACCCACTCTCTCTCTCTCGTATGTATTTCTCAGACCCCTCTTTCTTTCTCTCTCATTAACCCCCTCTTGTTTCTAAGGCCTCTCTCTCTCTCTTCATATTTGTTTCTAAGACTTGCCACTCCGTCATCATCCTCGATGAATTCCATCGTGCAGCAAGCTTCTTAACTTGTTGTTCTGAACTTGAAATCCTATATCTTCTCCCTTAAAGTCACTGAGTAGTCGGCTCTCATGGGGAATTCGACACCGTTCGAGTGTTTACCCAATAACAGGTGTTGTCAATCACCAGGGTTAGCCTTGAGTTTTATGACCATTGGACCTTATGTAATGCTTTGATTTGCCCGAAGACTCTCGAGCTCTCCGAGAGATTAGGGGGTAATTCTTGACTGGACTATGGGTTTGCTGTGTGCAAATTTGTACCCCCATTAATGGTATTTCCACCAAGTCTGGTGTCAGCGAATTATGGCCTTCTGCACATGGAAACTGGCGATCCACTCCCTTTAATCTTCAGTATTGCAGCTGCGTACGGTGTGTATAAATGCTGCATCGACGTACGTCTGTGCATGTACGATTCGATTTGGAACTGGCGCGCCCGATCGAGGAGCGTAGACTAGACTCATTCAAGCAGTTTCATTGCTATTTACCGGGAAAATGTCCAGGCCAGGGTGTAAAACGCAAAGTCGCGGCCTGGCTTGACCAACGAACTCCCACGAAACGAGTGCTCTGATTGGCCATTGGCTATGTTTTGGTAGGTGGACCCGGAAATATATCGGCCGCCGGGTAATATTTCGAATGCATGAACGTAACTGCTTTGCGGTTCTGAGGAACAAATTGGATAATTCATATAAGTAAGTCCGAAAATTTCACATTCTAGATCTATAATAGGTTAGCAAATTTTGAAAACTGTAATTAGGAGATATATAGACCGACCTAATTTACATCTGATTTAGAAATCAGGAAATTAGATCTAAATAAAGAAAATTGGGGGAGAAATGTCGGTAACGAAAAGCTGTTACGCTGTGGCTCTAATTTACCCCCACGGTACGAGATCTCTGGGTTGCCATCTGTATTGGGGAATGACAACAAATGTCAGTTTTATTAAAGAAATGACCCAAATCAGATGGTTATTGCTGTCTAATGTTGAGCCTATTATTTATTAATCTTTACTTTTTTGACCTTCACTTTGTTTTGGTAATAGGAGCATTAGTATACTATTATGTGTATGAACATGTTTCTCAACAATTGTTGTTTCTCAACAATTTCATACAACACAGACACCACAGACACTGTACAAAACTTACCAGATTTCTCATAAAATTGGCCCTGGCGCAGTTGGTCTGGCTTGAAGTTGAAGAGAAGGTTGAGCGTTCTCATTGCTATTAATATTATGCAAGTGTGGAAGAGTGGAAGACCATCAAGGAAAAAAAATGTTCCCTGAAAAGCATGGCTCTTCAAATGCCTTCAATCATATTCTAAATATGACAAGTTACAGCTCTGGACAATAGACCCTAGACCACACATAGGAGCATCACTATCCTGGCTGTGTAGTAAAAGCTGGGCTTTTGATTTACCTTGATTTGATTTAACTTTACCTTGATTTACCATGATGTTGGGCTTCAAGTATAATTACTTATATGCCCCTCTGCAGTAGGATTAATGTCTGTATGTACTGGGGATTGCGCCTACGTCGGAGCTTCGGACAATGCAATAGCAAGGAAACATTTCTTTAGGGTTGTACATGTCATATTTAGCTCTCCATGCTTTTTCTAGGTTGGATTTGAATGAGTTTACAGATGGGCTATCAATTACATAAACTGGAAGCGCATTCCGTAAATTGACGACTCGCTGTGAAAACGATCCCATTCGGATAGAAGTGAAGGCTCTAACTTTCGATAGATTGAAGCCGTGGCCACATGTTCTGTCATTCAAAGGTCTTTGAAAGAATTGGTTGAGGTCACTGCGGTCAATCCCATGGAAAAGTCTATATGTTTGTCAACATTTCAAACACCACTGTACAAAACTCAACTGATTTCACTCAAAATCGGTACTTTAGTGACAATTGATGACACCTAAATAGCAGTAAAATACATTTTTTTTAACTTACTGATGTTAAAAAGAATAATTTAAAAATTCAAATTGTAAATCTAGTGTCAAACTTTGCTTACAGCTGCGTCGACATGATTGTGTACAGTCTATGCGATTTTGTGTGGTGTGTATATTTGTGTATGGGTATAATAATACCTGCCTCACAGCAAGCATGCAGTGCTAAAGGTCAATACGCGTTAGCATTGACTCTCTATGCTTTGCTGGAGTGCCCTAGACCTAGCGCTGATTTCTAGCGATGTCCGAATATGAATTCCATTCAGAAGAACAGCCTAAAATTATAAAAATGAGGCCTGATTTTTATGCCACCATTTTGTGTCTAAACGATTTTTCAATTTCCTTTTGGGATTGTTTTTCACCATTGTGGTTGGATCACTCGAAAAATCTAGGCCTAGTCTACTCAGAAGAACACATTTCAAATTTCAAAACTCACCGAATTTCTATCAAAAGATACGGTTCCCCAAAATATAGGCAGTATATTCATCTAAGTTTTGTCCAGAATGGACAAAAAAGTGGTACATGCAGAGTTATAATTTTTGCTGAAGAGTAGACCTAGACCGAAATCTTCAGTCTCTGATATCAACGTTTGTTCTGCTTAGATCGCATCTGGCTCCTCTGACTGCCTCTATACATAGACTGAAGATCGTCGTATGGGGACTGTACGGGAGGATTTGGTTCGGTTCGGCTGGACCGCGATGAATGAGATATATGCAAAAAGTTTTTCACTCTTTAGTAAGTCTTCATATATCCATTCTGGCTGCACTATATTACACTGATTTTTATTAAAGATAAAAAATAACACAGAAATATCTACTTTGACTTACGATAGCTTGCTCACATGATTAATTCGAGAAAGTCTTGTAGTCGACATATTCGTTGTCAGTCATCTTGGTTTTAGCTGATGAATATTAATTTTTTCTTTTTCGAACGTCCAATAGCTACGTACGAATCAGCCCGGCTTGATCCAGTGATATATAAATATTGATAAACCCAATATTAAATGAGTGCTCTGATTGGCCATGGGCTATGTTTTGGTAGGTTGACCCGGAAATATATCAGACGGGTCATGTCATAGATTACCAGTTCGAATGCATGAATGTACCGTTTCACAGTTCTGAGATAAAAATTGGATAACTCATATAAGTAAGTCAACTTTATCTTTAAACTTTAGGTTTAACCTAATTTAAGTTAAAAGCCGCTTAAATTAAGATTAAGAATAACTACCCCGTGTCCACATAGAAAAAATTCATCTTATAGTTATAACTATCCTAAAACGGTATAGAATATCGTTTCGGAATAGCCATACAATGAAATAGTGTGTGTGTACGCTTACTAACTATACGTCATATAAAGAAACGTCGTATAACGAAACGCAGGTCTGGGCGTCGTTTTGAACTAGAACTCGATAAAGAATCACAGAATGTTTTGTGTGTGGACGTACGATCAAACTAGAACGGTATAACTGGGCGGGGCTTCACATGACCGCACTTCATGATCGGCCGGCTGGCATGTCAACTGATCTCGTCAAAATCAGTTTCTTTATACATTTCTTTATACAATGTTTCTTACTGTGTGTGTGTGGACGCCGTTTGCTAAACGACGTTTCTTTTGTATGGACGCCCTGTTCGCTATATACAATGATTGTTTATACGACGTTTCTTTATAGAGTTTTGGGATAAATTTGTGTGTGTGTGTGGACACGCTGTTAAGCCTATAAGATTAAGAAGTTAAGTGGCAATTCTTGCTACTGCAACTAAGGTATTTGGCCATAGAGGGCAGCAATAGCCACAAAATAAAGGAGTAATTTAAGGCCAAAGTCACTTTTAAGGTTTATAGTTAGACCTTGTGCATTGTAATTTGTAGGAGTGATCAATAACAATTATTTTTCTCACAAATATTCATTTTATTAAAGCCAAATAACAAAAATGAAGTGTTCCTTTTTGGCCGCCGCCTCCTTTTCTTTTACTATTTACTATTCAGAATAAGAAGAAAAAAAGCCTGTGAAATACATTCTTTTTAAATAGCTTCTAAAGTGATACAAATCATTCGTTTTGTCATGTATTGCATCAGTATATTCACATAGCCCAATATCCGTGAATAAATAGGCTTGGTCAGCTATAATTAGCATGGCAGCCATCTTGGGAAAAATTGCAACAAAAATTGCAAAATAGTAAATACCGGTAGTAATGCCCTGCCCCCTCTTTTTTTTTTAAAGTCGGGACTAGAAACACATTATTTTTTGTTATTTGGCCTAATGTGTTTTGAAATAAGACCATTTTATTAGTGTATCTCAGAGTAGGAGTAAGACCAAAGCTAAAGTAATATTTTTATGCCAGAATAAAAATTGAAAATAGATCTACTACTTGTATGATGTGAGTGTTACGAAGCTCATTACTAGGCATATTCATGCACCACTAGATGATGCTCTCGTGCAGGTACAGAAATCTGGATACCCTTTGTTGGGCTTGGCACTGAACTGCCCACAGCCATAGATATGGCAAGAGCCATGTAATCAAAAACACAAATGTGAACATAATCACCTATTCCTGCACACAATAAACCTTGCAAAGTACCTTCAATTTACCCTCAAGGATCCTTCTTTCTAGTCATCCAACACGTGAAATCGGTTCACAAATGACACTTAATTGGGATTTTCTTTACATGAATGACAGAGCTTTCCTTTCCTTGTACATGAATCCTATGTACCTGTAAATGTTGACGGGGGTTCATGGTGTTGATCCTGGCTGGTATCGCAGATAAAACTGGCGTATAAAAATGTCTGATTTTGCATTGCCAATTTTTTACTGATTTTATGAGAAAAGCGATACGTTTTATAGTTTAAAAAGGAGCGGTAAGCAACACTGGACATGTTCACTGACACACTGACTTCCAAATGTAATTTAAATACAATGAGTCCAACTTGCCCAACACCAATGTTAGAAAATTGTTGTTGTTTAAATCTGCAATCTAATCTTCTGTCGTTCCTGTTGAACCAGTGGTTGGTAATCATTATGTACATCTGTCAATATCTCTTTGTCGATCTGCTAGTGCTCATATTTGTAAGAATTTTTTTTTTTTTTTTTGGGGGGGGGGCGTCTATTTGAGCAGTTTTAGATGAAGCAGTTTGATGACTTTTGATAACTAGTCCATTATTTTGAATACAAGAGTACTTTTGTGTGAAGCGACTTAACGATTACAAATCTTCTCAGCTTTATCATCTTAGTAGTCATGCTGAGTAGTAACCTGCCACTGTAACTTTCTGGATACCAAGATGACAAGCAAGTGGACGCAGGATATTCAATGGTCCCCGGTGCATCCTGATACCTTTTTCTCCCTGTCGGTTGGAACGAATCAAGTGGAATTCAACCAGTATGCTGTGGAGTCACTCTCCAATTATGACATAGCAGGACATGGTAAGAGGATGATGTACAAATGAAGAGATCAATTCCAAAAGGAGCTAAATCCACTTTTGATGAAAATTGAGTAATTGATATCAGAACACTGTTCACTTAAGAACCCGTCTTTCAACAAAATTATTGGGAACAATTATGAAAACCTTCTAATATCACTTTTCCATAGACGCCTGTACAAAATCTGGTAAAAAAATTCCCTTTTCTCTGAAGTTACAAAATGAATTTAGCTCCTTCTGGAATTAAACTCTTCAAATATTGACTGCTTTGATGGGTAAGGTGAAAACTGTCACTGAAGGTGATCTTGAATTAGTGCTGTGCCTTGAGCTGAAGTTTAGGGGTGTAGAACATTCTCAAGACAGCCGAGAAGCTATAGTTCACACCATGAGAGGACTAAAAGCCGTCAGTCCCATGGTTGCTTACTTACAAGTAGATTTCCGAGCAGTTGGGTAAAACAAACCATTAAACATATCGTCATGAATTTTGTGGATGAGACTCTCGCACTGAATGTCTTGGCTCAGCCAAACGCTATGCTTCCATGATTTATGATACCTTCAGTGTCCAGACTGATTAGAGTATTGTCCATATTTTTATGAATGCTGTAATTATTGAATTAAGCTACATTTAAAGATGTTCCTTTTTATGCTCTTATGTTAGATCAAGACTTTTAATTGCAGGCATCTACCTCTCATAATATCCAAAGTCCTTTATAAGCCCTTAGAGACGTTGTATCATAAGGTGATATGCGTTGTAATACACGAAGGTCACAATTTGGCTGTACCGGTATGATTAAACTTGAGTCTGTTAGATGGTGCCTGGAATGTTTTGACTCTTTATATAAGTCTTCATGATTATTCACATGAAACTTACTTGTGCACTTTTTGCAGGATCTTCTAAACCATCAGGTCGGCAGGTTTCTGAAACAGGATTTGCACGCCTTCAATTCTCCAAGTCGGATCTCTTTACGAACAACAAAGACGAAGTACAGAGAATAAAAGTAAGGTTCATAATATAAAACACGAACGACAAGAGTAAAACGGTTACGGTAAGTCAATCGTACGCGCACACACAACGAAGTGAAATGTGAGATAACTTATCAGTGAAAATTCATATGGAATCATCTTTCCCCCTAATGTTCTTTTGTTTTAAAACCACTTGTATGTCTTATAGCTTTAGGGGTGATTTGATGCAAATAATCTTTACCGGTAATGGTAATTGTCCCTTTTAAACTTGCTTTCATAAAAGTGTTTAGCAAAGTTGATGGTATAGACTATATCATTTTATTCTTTTGGGGGGTTTATCTTCAACACTCTCATCTGTTACCATCTGTTACATTACCAAAAGCTCGGGGGTTACGTTCTTCAAAATTGGGGGGGGGGGGGGGGGGAGAGATCAGATCGCAGCGAGTTGAGTGTATATATAATATAGGCGTGGGGTCCACGGGTTTCAAGGGGCCATAAACCCCCGAAAGCTTGGGGGTTTTAGGCGTTTAATTAGGGTCAGATGAGCATATTTTTCATACTTTATTTGTGACACTTGCGGGTCACTAATTGGCGTGGGGTCAATACGTAGAGTTGCGTAGTCTTGCGTACCAACTACGCTGGCCTACGTTACTATATGCTGAAGGACGGAAAGGGGTACGCAAGATGAACGAAAACAATTCAACATGTATAATTTTTTTCGCGTACTTTCGGCGTAGAAACTTGACGCAGAAAGTACGCCTTTTTACGCAACACTACTCTACATGACTACGCAGCAGTACGCTACCCTACGCCAGATCGACAAAGCAGTAAAAGCTTTCCACACAGTAAGCAACCATAAGCAAACCTGTACGCCAGCCTACGCATAACCTACGCAGGGACAATTTTCCCATTAATAGCAGCCTAATTTCTGCGTATTCGGAACGCTACACTACGGAACTCTACGCAGTTCCAGTGGCTTAAAGAATAACTACCGGTACAGTTGGATTTTTTTTTTTTTTTTTTTATGTAAGGTAAATTTTTAAAAAAACATGTTTAGCGTCCTGTTTTTTCGAAAAATGGGAAGGAGGAGGACCTTTTCTTTCTTTTTTTCTTTCAAAATGGCGGCCGACAATTATTATTTAAAATCAGAAATACATTTTAGCAGTGCTTTTCATGTTTTTTTCTTTCTTTCAAAAAAAAAAAGAAATCAAAACAAAAATAGGAGGCGGCCCCCAAAAAGGAAGCGGGCGGGGACGCCGTTTTTTTTCTTTCAAAAAAAAAATTTCAAAAAAAATAAAATAGGAGGCGGCCCCCAAAAAGGAAGCGGGCGGGGACGCTAAACATGTATATTTTTTTAATGGCCTGAATGGCAAATAAAGTTCTTGGTGGTTTTAATTTAGACAGTCTCTATATTGACACCCCCCCGCCCCCCTCTAGAATCCCGCGGATTTCCGCGGGTCCTGCTAGTCCTGTATAATACTCTACCTACCTCTATAAAAAAAAAAAGTAATCAGTGCATTTTCCCTCTTTAAAAAGTGCTTTTTTTTTTACCATCTATGCTCTTTTGGGCAAAATATTCACACTCAACATGGATTTTTGTTTGTCCTTCTCTGTTATGATTGTGCAGTGTTTTGCCTGTTACCCGAAGGCAGTACCGGAGAACCTGCTTGGTCTTGGTCTCTCTACAGGAAAGGTGTTGCTCACTTCGTTTGTTTCAGATCCGCAGACAGATCCTACTAATCTCATCGGAGCAGAATTCCCTCCCAAGCATTCCAGACTATGTACCAGCCTGGCATGGAATGCTGTCGACTCAAAGTTGGTAAGTAATATCCGATGGCTTGGCAGCATTTCGTTCGTTTGTGTCTCCTTAGAGCAAGATTAATGTATCTTGATCTTTGAAGTAGTTGCTACAACCGGCCGTGTCAGACACGTTGCCCCAGGGTGCGAGATAGGACTCTTGTAGCATGCCCCCATTTAAAACAATTGTACAATAACAATTAACATTACATTTAATTAAAAGTATGAAACTATTAAAATTACTCTCATGTTACGGGGAAAGAAAAAAAGAATATATATATATATATATTATGATTCAATTGATTTGGTCAATTTAGTTTCATGGCAAAAACACGGCACTACTGGACAGAGATCCTAATAATTACAGAGTTTGGTCTTGTTGCTCTGTTCGTGGATATGGAATCCCGCGGCACATTACTCACATGAGTTCTAACAAGCCAAGCTTATACAGAGCCTATGATACGTAATGTTGTGCATGGACCACAGCATTACTTATTATAGGCTCTGTATAAGCTTGGCTTGTTAGAACAATAATACAGGGGAAACTGTTTTCAGGTAGTGGATTGTGTGTTGGATTTTTTTTTTTTATAAGATTTGTCTTGATTATCATCCTACTTGCATTGCATACAGATTCAGTACCATTTGTACATTGTATCATTTCTGTTGAGGCCTGTATCTTTTGATATCATACTGTATCTTTTGATATCATACTGTGTAGTGGTGGTTGATTTACCTGTCTGCTAAGAAAGCATAAATGCTTGTTAGTATTAAAGCAACCAGAGGACAGACGGCTTAAGGTCCTCTCCGAGAGACCTGGTAATGAGGATTAATGCCTTACAAAAGGGCATTAGCCTTGGTTTCGAACCCGGGTCACCGGATAACGAGACCACTGCTCTACCGACTGAGCTATCGCGCCTCCTCTGTATTGAAATTGGGTTTTTTTTAACATGATTTGTCTTGATTATCATCCTACTTGATTTGCATACATAATCAGCAAGTACCATTTCCACATGGTATCATTTCTGTTGAGGCCTGTATCTTTTGATATCGATCGTATAGAGGGGGCATAGATTTTATATCGGTGTATTCTATACCAGGTACATAGAAAACATTCAGTTTGTCATGAATTTGGGCATAATTTCAGCTTGCTTTTAGTCTTGACTAGTATAGTATACAAATAATACACAGGTGTGAGTGCGTTATGGTTAATGCAGTGCATGAGGGTATTCACTATGGTGCAATAAAATTCATGAGACCTAGCGGAGTGTATTTTGTGCCATTGTGAATACCCGAATAGCGCTGCATCGCCATAACGTCATAAACGAAAACCTGTGTATTATTTGTTTTATAAAATGGGTCGACAATCTTACTTAGCAAGGCCATAAGCAGAAGATGTCTCCCTGCGACCTTCATCCACGGTTGTTATCACCCAAATGCATCCCATGCAGATAGTAACAAATAATGCACGGTCACATGATCCATTTTGACGTTTCTCATTGGCCACCTTCTTGAACCCATTTTATAAATATTAACTGTGACATCCATATTGGAGCAGGGCATCCTTTGGCACCTGCACAAATTTGAGCACATTTTTCCCCTGTTGTGTAGATAAAGTATACCATGTATCTGTCACTGTCAATATGATACAAGGAAGGAGAGACTAAATTTTAATCAATGTTTTCACCATTTATACATTAAGGCTACGTATAGTATTTATTTTTTAATTGGGTTGTTGTTAACATATATCCTGTATGATTTCCTCCACATGTTTTTTTTTTTCTTGCAATCTTCCCGTCTCCGATGTTGATGTGAGAAAAAAAGTATATTTTCAAATTTTCAATAATATTTGGTAGTATCAAATGATATACAGTTTTACTACCATATTCAAAGTTTATGCAAACTTATTACAAGAAGGTTGTTCTTGACAACCTGAAAGCTTGCCTGATGCTTTCCTGACATAGCAACAAGTAATGTATGCAGACTGGATTCCAAGTAACTTTTCACAGGGAAAGAAACGTCCATAACTTTGAATATGTTAGTCAACCTGTCTATTGCGTAAAGTGATTTTCAAAGCTTTTTAATAATTGTGTGCTATGTACTATTCTGTATAATTTTCTTTCAGTTGGCTGTTAGTTTTGACAAATACAGAACAGACTGCAGTCTATCGATCTATGACATCAATGTGAGAGGCGGTGAGTGTAATAACAGTAGATATGTTGACTGCTATGAGAGGCATCGCTGTTTCTATAGGCTCAAGCCGAGAGCCAGTATAGGAAAAGCTATGCTTTGAATATATTCAAGCAGTCCATATATCTTTTATATACCAAATTCACAAACTAATCTACAAAGAATTCTTACCTTATCCTTTTCTTGAGTAAAGACTGGTTTAATAAAACATCGCAGAAAATCTGAGACACTGTCTGTAAATCTTCGCTGGAAAGTTGCCTCAATGTTAGGATCATTTGGGAATTGCACGCACACTTCACTGTATTTTGTATCTGGGCTCGCACAAAGAAACTTTTTACACTGAAACCAATGGGGATCTCAGCAAAATTTATTTATGCGGCCCGTTACCCAGGGCAATGGGCATCTTTTTAAAAACTATTGACCCATAGGCAGGCATGGCTAAAATCACGACTCCAATTTCAACCAATCAGATGACTAGATTTATTGAACATATTAAAGAGAGGTACATGTATATAATGAACAATAATAGTGAACATTTGTAATACGCCATGTCTGTCAACATTGACTCTCCTGGCGCAGTTGTGAGAAAATTGTATAATTGTGGGTATACAGCTATCAAGCGATTGATAGCTGGCTCCAGATGTTAAAGCTTATCTGCCGTAGTTTACAGGAGAGATTAGACTGCCCTGCAAGGTCACTGGACAGGTGGTTATCTCATCAACTCAGCTCTCAGTTAACATAAGAAAAAGAGGATCATGGGGGACCAATGGTCACCGATTAGTCATTGTTTGTTATATAGAGGGCGCAAGTAGCTACAAGTAGTGCAGTGGGCCTTTAATACCAGCAGAAAAGAGTAGGCTTCAGACATTTAGTTACAGGATGCAGGCCAATGCATCATCTTGAATAATTCTATCCTTAATTCCTTATGATGTCATTTTAAAGATTTTTTTTGTAATGGAAGTCCACTCTAAAATTAAGTTGGTTTTATTAGAAGCAGAAAATATGAGAAACAGGTCGGTGAAAGTCTGAGCAAAAACCGATTAGAAATAAGAAAGTTATGAATTTTTTGAAGGTGCAATCCGTCAAACAAAATTTGGCAACTGTGTGACCTATTTTGTGAGGTCACCTTGTATGAAAAAAACTTAACAAAAATTTATATTATCCCTTAAGAAATTGTTTATTCATGCATTCCCCCCTTAATATGGTTATTGCAAATATGTTAATGTTTTTATACAACCCCTGTATGAAACAAATCTATTCACTCATCAATAACTAAGAAAATAAAAGTTTATCAAAATTGTCAATACAGAGCTTATAAGAGAGGAGTTAAAATAATTTATAAATAGCTCTAGTATTTTAAGCATCGTGATTGGTCAAAACGTGTCACATGACATGCACCTATGTTTGGTGCATGCACGATCGTGACAAAAAAGCACTGTCAAAAGTGATATTGCACACTAAAAGATCAATATCCAGCGCAGCGTATGTGTAGAGCAAGTAGCAAGGTCTTATCGTATAATTTTCTAGAACCAACATAACTCTCATGGAATCTAAGGTTAGATCTAGACTTTCGTTTGTTTTGATTTTCATGTGTCGCTATTTTATAAAACAAATAACCCACTTGACCCTGTTGTGTGTAATGTACAGCAGTGTACACTCTGTTTCATTACAGTGCAATGTGAACTCGCCGCAAGCGGCTCGTGCACATTGCATTCACCACTAACGAACGCTGGGCCGTTGGTTATTTGTATAATACGTCACAGTGTTGCCAATTTGTGTTTGACTGATGACAACTTCAAAACTTGTGAAGAAGTTTGATGGGCAGTGGGCAGTGCCATTTTGTAACCAGGGCTGGTTCATACTCAACTCTCCTGCATGTATGAGGAAGGAAGTTTTAAAGGGATCCGGTAACTTTGTCTCAGATTCTGGATTTAGCTCATGCTGCAATGATAATGATAAACCTTTAGGTCAATCAGGACCCCCATGATTTTTTACAAGCCGATCGCCTGTCTGATCATTAAGATATTTAAGATTGGAAATGAAACCAAATTTTCATTTTTTCCTAACGGTATTCATAACACTACAATATATTGGGGAAGAAAAGTATGGTAAAACCGGTCACTCTAAGATTTTAACTTTTTTGAGGCACTTCTTGATCATTTTGAAGCGCGATATTTGTAGGGCTTCAATATGACAACATATCACAGAAAACACGTAGGGCCGTGCATCTCAGATTTAACATTGTTAAACGATGCCTTTAAGCCTTATGGTTTCCCCAAGTTCAAACAAGTTTGGCAAGTTTGAGGATAGGAAATAGGTCTTGAGTCGTGACTGACCCTTCGTGCCCCTGTTGGTGATGGTTCTCCAGAGTGAACAGTTCTATCACCCTCTCCCTATCTCTGTCTCCCTCTCCCTCTCTTGCTCTGCCTCCCTCTGTCTCTGCCTCTCTTTGTCTACTCTCTTACCCTCTCCCTTTCCCGCCTCTGGTTCTCGTTCTCCCTCCAATATGATGGACCAAGACAAGTGATAGACCTGTTAACTGTCTTATTCAGTTGGGCGTTGATCCATCTAAGCTTTCTGTTCACCTCATCTCCATTAGCCTTCAGTGCATCCTTGCGGTATTATCTTTTTCAGTTCTAGTTTGTATTCATATTCATATGCCTTCATATGATACTAACATTTTTCCATTACAGTGAACCTCTTTAAATTTGAAAAAAGGAAGTCAAAATTATCTTTGTCCTGAAATATTTGACTCGATATCAGCTCTGAAAAATGTGACCTATTATCCTGGTAACATTGGACCTACATATGATTGTGTGAAGCGTTACACTAAGTTTAAAGGATAGACATTGATATACATATATACATGTATGTGCACTAATGTCTTTTGGCATGATACAAAATGTGTTAATCTACATTTTCCATACTCCACCCAGGCAAGGTAAATGGGTACCCGGTAGGAGCAAAATTCCCTGAATGCTTGAGCAACTTTTCATGGTAGCTCAGCTAAAGCTGGTGTAATGATATGATTGCAGGGCCCTCAGGGAGAACTACCGATGAGGCTACCCTGGGTAAACAAGACATATTAAAACATTATTTATTATTATTATACCTTATTTATAAAATGATTATTTTTCGTAATAAGTATGGGTATGATAATACAGATTTGAATTTGATTCATTCATTTAAGAGAGGAATGACTAACAGAATAAAAATAAATGAGCATTTAAAAAAACAAAATATGAAATTTCCTGCGAATTTGCTTAGTTATATCTGAACAGATATTATGTGTATTATTGATGTTCCATTGTTTTGCTAAATTGTAAGGAAAATTATGTTTTGGTTTGAATATTGAATGAACACCTCATTACAGGCAAAGAGAAAGAAAAAAATTAATTATACCTAATGTGTTGTGTGGCTGGTTATTCCCTTGTAGGAGGTGGAGGAGGGCAATCTAGGCCTTTGTCAGTTGGAAGTGAAAGGGATACCAGAGGGGTAACAGAATTAGGTAAGTTCTATCGAAGTAATGCCCTATTCACACTGCGCATCCAGCATTCCAATTTGGGGAGTCTTGGCCACACTGGATCCAGGATATCTTGTGGGGGGCCAACTTCTTTTTTTTTTTGCTCCCGAAAATTTGAAAATTGCGCCGGCCGAAACTTCGCTCAGTGGGAGGGGAGGGGGGGGGGGGGGGGGGGGGTAGTGAGCACTTTTTTTGGGGGGGGGGGGTCCTCGAAAATTTAAAAATTTGCACCCCCTCCCCCCCTCATTGCGCGTGGGGGGGGGGGCCCAACCCCCAAAAAGGTAAAATTCATGTGTTTTTACATCTGGTCTTGGCAGCCAGAGAAGGGATGCTGGAGGGTGCGGGCCAATGCTGGACATGCACGAAAGACTTGTAAAATGTTGAATTTTTTGGTGTTTTTAAATGTTCAAACATATTGTCCTTGTTTTTCTTGATTTTCAAATTGGCAACAGTAATATTTTTCTTTTAATACCTAATGCAATGTCTCCGAAAAACAATATACATGTACATACAGAGTCACAAAATGTCCAGTTTTGATAGAAAGACAATGATTTTGAACCTCTCAATGTGTTTCCAATTTCAGGATTTTAAAGCTTATTTGTCTTCTTTTTTAAATCCAAGTGTCAAACGCAATATGGACTTGACACAAAAATGGAAACGATGTATATGCAGAATGTCTTGCCCTTTCTTTTCATGCATGTGGTATATGGGGGGAGGGGGCTCTTAATCAAAGGTTACAGAGCCAAACTCAAGTTGTAGAGGTGTCGTGGTCTATAGGATACATCACCAGACTGTGGATTACATGGTTTGCAGCTCACTAATGCCCTTTGGCAAGACATTATTCTACATTTGGCACTCTCCACCCAGGTGATGTAAATGGGTACCTGCTGGGAAGAAATTCCCAGAATGACAGAGCCCCTAATGAGAGTAGCTCGGCTAATGCAGGGGTAATTATAGTATGCACAGCACTTTATACAACTATTAGAATCAAGTACTTTATTAATTTTACTATAAATATTATTATCATTTAACCTTAAAAATATGGAATGCTTATCCCACAAGGGAGATAATACACAGTCATTGTCTTTGATTTGACAAAAAAGCACTAATAACATGTGTTTTGCTTCAAGCAAGTACATGTCTAACACCAAATGAATGATTATTTTTTCCACAATTTCTGTGTATAGTATACAGTGATGCCCTGCATTCCATGGCCTGGCTACTACACCAGCCCTGCAACCTCATGGTGGGACAAGGTCAGAAGAATCTAAGGCTCTATGACATCAGAGGTAAGCCTTTAGCTGTGTTCATATACGGCAAATGCCGTAATATTGCTGGCGTGCATCGGTTAGCGATTTTCTCTGACCACCGTTCATATTTGAATAGGGAGGCATTATTTATCAATATTTCAGCATTTTTCATTATATTTCCCTTTAAGTGGTTTTTTGACAGGTGTACAAAATTGTTTGATACTGGATAGTGAGCTAGCCAGGCCGCTGGTGTTCCAGCTTTGACGATTTGAGGGCTATAGGTGTAGTTGTGGAGGCAATTGGCCTTACATACACATCCTGTTTTGAGAATTAAAAGTTTATGGGACTGTTCCGAGACGGAATCTAATGTTTAGATAACAACACTAACTTTGAGGTATAATGACAGGCAAATAATCACCATGGGTATGCAACGTGTGTGTACCATACCCCATGTCTACAGTTTTGCATAGTTCAATACTGAAAGGGAAAATATTTGTTATTTCTTTTTATATGTATTCTAGGTTCATTCTCAAAAAGTTTAAATATTCATGTAAACAGTTAATGTTTAAACACATGATGTGCACTGAGTAGATTTTTCTGTACAATGTTCTGCCTGCGGTGTGTGTTGGTGTGTCTGTGTGCATGTGAATGAATGAGGGTGGGTGTATGTTTGTTTTGATAAGTTTTACAATATTTGTTATAATAATTTGCTTGTATGTTTATTTTTGTACAGGGCCCCATTCTCACAAGCTTTTCTTTTCTTGGGGTCCTTCCGATTTTGCTATGTATTTTACTTTGAATGTTAATGGAAAATAAATGAAATGAAATGAAATTCAGCTTTTCATTGATATAAAGTTGTATTTTGGATCCTTAGTTGGAAGGATCTTAGCATTTAATGAAACTGTGCAATGGTCGCTTGTTTTCTGCTCTTCTTCAGATCCCTCAAAGCACAAAAGCAGTGCCATCACCAAGGCAGTGTATGGAATCTCTGCAGACCCACTGTATGAACATCGGCTAGCCTCATTCTTTGAAGACCAGACCATGATCTGGGATCTGCGCCATTTTGAAAAACCAGTATCCTTTCATGAGAATGTTCATCGTTTTTATGATTAAGATGATGATGATGATATTAGTAGCAATAATGATAATGAACGTGATATAATTGTAGTGGTGATGGTAATGATACATGTACATATAATTTGATCACGTTTTTGTTTAAATACTGGTAACTACTGTTTAATAATAATAATAATAATATACAAATATACAGGGCCTGAGAAAATTGAGTTGAATCTATGGGGTCAGTCACCTTTTTCCTCGAGGGGCAGTAGCCCGAAGGTAAATTGACGGTAGTCGCTGAGACTGACCCCATAGATTCAACTATATTTTTTTTATGAAAGGCCATGCATATATGGTTTTTTATCCCTCATTAAAATAAATAAATCCTAAAAGTCAAGCTATATTATCTAACGGTACCAGAATACTAGGGTAGACTTGGACTTTAATTGTGCTCACCTAAAAGCTTGCACTAAAGTTAGATCTATAAAGACAAAGTAGAGCCCTAACGTTTATCTGGTAAAAACTCCCAGAGAGATATGAACTGCCTGTACCGATAGATGTTAACTGTTAAACCTACTTTATAAGTTAAGCCTCGGTCACAAATGCCATTACGAACTGCTACGAATGCCGTACAAACGATTTTCAGACAATGAAAATTTGGGAAGACAATGGAAAAACGGAGATTCGTACGAAATTATCGTTCGTATGAACCTTTGTGACCGTAGCATTACATACAGACTTTAGACAATAGTCAATAGACTATCGAGTATAGTTAGACTAACAAGTTACACTTAGAGACCTTGTAACACTAACAGAAATCTTTCCCACCTTGCACCTTGTCCTTAATCCTACCACTGTAGGTGATGGATACACTGTACAAGTATGCACCTGTCAGGAAGCCAATATCAGGGGGGTGTTTCACAAAGATCCTAAGGCAAACTTAACTCTAAGTTGGACTTAAATATTATGGAAAGCCATTTGTAGCCTGAAAATAAAATATATTCAAATTGAAAATTCAAGTATTTAAGACTTTTTCATAAATTCCACTTCGAGAACATGAAATCTCCTTGAAAATAGAAAATAGGAATTATTTGAATCAACATTTTATGCCTTTTTAAATAACTTTTACAAAATATTTTCATAGATGCCAACGGCTTTCCATAAATCTTTAAGTCCAATTTAGAGATGAGTTCATCTCAGGATCTTTGTGAAACACCCCCTGGACTATTAGTTCAATAAAACTGTACCCTGTAATAGATCTGTGAGAAACTATCATGGCAGGTATTGGGAGGGAGATGAATGTTATTATCTTAACCGGAGACTGTGCCGTATAGGTACTCAGCTTCCGTGAAGCAAGGGGCGTGGTCAAGCTCGGGTGGAGTCCCACTCGATACGGCACCTTGGCTTGCCTAACCAAGCAGAGCAATGTCATCAAACTCTACAACATACAGCATGTTGGTAAGATATCCTTGTTGGGTCAATGTCGCTATTCATAAGGACCGCTATTCATAAGGTCCGCTATTCATAAGGTCCACTATTCATAAGGACCGCTATTCATAAGGTCTGCTTTTCATAATTGGAGAAAAGTGTCATTATTCATAAGGGTCATTATTCATAAGAACCGCTATTCATAATCAAAGAAGAGGGTCGGTATTCATAATAGGAGAAGAGGGTCGCTATTCATAATACGACATGAGGGTCGCTATTCATAAGGGTCCCTATTCATAATATTACAAAAGGATCGGTATTCATAACACAGAAAGAGGGTCGCTATTCATAATACGAAATGAGGGTCGCTATTCATAATACGAAATGAGGGTCGCTATTCATAATGCAAAATGAGGGTCGTTATTCATAAGGGTTATTATTCATAACGGTCATTATTCATAATAAGAAATGAGGGTCGGTATTCATAAAAGGAGAAGAGGGTCGCTATTCATAATAGAAGAAGAGGGTCGCTATTCATAATAGAAGAATAGGGTCGCTATTCATAATAGAAGAAGAGGGTCGCTATTCATAATAGGAAATGAGGGTCGCTATTCATAATAAGAAATGAGGGTCGCTATTCATAATAGAAGAAGAGGGTCGCTATTCATAATAGAAGAAGAGGGTCGCTATTCATAATAGGAAATGAGGGTCGCTATTCATAATAGGAAATGAGGGTCGCTATTCATAATAAGAAATGAGGGTCGCTATTCATAATAGAAGAAGAGGGTCGCTATTCATAATAGAAGAAGAGGGTCGCTATTCATAATAGGAAATGAGGGTCGCTATTCATAATAAGAAATGAGGGTCGCTATTCATAATAGAAGAAGAGGGTCGCTATTCATAATAGAAGAAGAGGGTCGCTATTCATAATAGGAGTAGAGGGTCGCTATTCATAATAAGAAATGAGGGTCGCTATTCATAATAGGAGAAGAGGGTCGCTATTCATAATAGAAGAAGAGGGTCGCTATTCATAATAGGAGTAGAGGGTCGCTATTCATAATAAGAAATGAGGGTCGCTATTCATAATAGGAGAAGAGGGTCGCTATTCATAATAGAAGAAGAGGGTCGCCATTCATAATAGGAGAAGAGGGTCGCTATTCATAATAGGAGTAGAGGGTCGCTATTCATAATACGAAATGAGGGTCGCTATTCATAATAGGAAATGAGGGTCGCTATTCATAATAGGAGCAGGGGGTTGCTATTCATAATAGGAGAAGAGGGTCGCTATTCATAATAGGAGTAGGGAGTCGCTATTCATAATAAGAAATAAGGGTCGCTATTCATAATATGAAATGAGGGTTGCTATTCATAATACGAAATGAGGGTCGCTATTCATAATAAGAAATGAGGATCGCTATTCATAATAGGAGTAGAGGGTTGCTATTCATAATACGAACTGAGGGTCGCTATTCATAATAAGAAATGAGGGTCGCTATTCATAATGGGAGTAGAGGGTTGCTATTCATAATACGAAATGAGGGTCGCTATTCATAACACGAAATTAGGGTCGCTATTCATAAAAAAGAAATGAGGGTCGCTATTCATAATAGTAGACGGTCGCTATTCATGATACGAAATGAGGTTCGCTATTCATAATACGCCCCCCCCCCTCGGCTACGTTCCTGGTCCTGTAGGGGGGGGGGCGATATATAGCCCTGAATAGTTGTCTCTTTTTAAAGTAATTATATTTTATCTGTTATCTTTGATAATTATATAGAGCCAACCCCCCCCGCTCATGTGGTGACGAAAAAAAAGTAAAACATAACACACATGTAATCCTATCGTAAATTTTCCTCCTTGTTGGAAATCTTGCCCCACCACCCTGCCCCCGACTGATCTTATCCAGGCTACGCCACTGAGATATTAAGTACGCCAAGCAGGCCCATTATCCATTTTAGCTTGCTATTTAAGAAACTAGTAATTGTTTATACGACAATAATATTTTTGTGGAAAGTAATTTTTATTAGGACTTATGGACCTACAAATTACTGAGCGGAATTGGACCTGACAATTGGACCTAAGCCCAGTATCTACCGATCCCCGAGCCCCCCCCCCCATCAGTACGCCCCGGCGCGGATCCAGAATTTTCCAATTGGGGGGGGGGGACGGAAATTTGAAAAATGCGCAGACCGTTTTTTCAACTCAACATACCAATACTGACAAGGTCATATTAGAAACACGATACGGGTACCTAGAAGCAGGAACAATTTTGGAAAGGGGTGCAAGCTCACTTCAGGTCTCTTGTCCGATATCAACATTCCCCGTTTTTAAGATATACATTTTTTGACATTTTCATCGGGGGGGGGGGGGGAGGGGGGGGGGCTAAAGCCTCATGCCCGAAAAGGTAATTTTCTAGTTCACAATTCTGCTTGTGAGCGAAACGAGCGAGCAAAAATTTGAGCATTATATGTTTTTTGTGAAAGTGTTATTTATCACCAAGATAAACGAGAAAAGATATAAAAAAATTCATATTCGGGCAGCTTGCTGTCCCCCCCCCCCCTCCCCTCCCCCACCCAATACGCGCGAAAGCTTTGAACTTTCATTAATTATTAGAAAAAGAAGACGATTTATTGTACCACTCTCGACTCTTAATCCTTGTCTGAATTCAGTTTTCCCCCTCGCTTTTACCTTTCATTAATTATTAGAGAAAAATTACGATTTGTTGTACCGTTCTCGACTCTTAATAATTGTCTGAATTCTATTCCCCCCTCTTGCGCAAAGCGCGTAAGCTTTAACCTTTCATTGTTTAATGCAATTATTAGAGAAAGAAGATGATTCGTTGTTCCATTCTCGACTCTTAATTCTTGTCTGAATTCAGTTTCCCCCCTCCTGCGCAAAGCGGGTAAGCTTTGACCTTTCATAGTTTAATGAAATTATTAGAGAAAGAATACGATTCGTTGTACCATTCTCGAGCCTTTTTCTTTGTCTTATTTGAGTTTCCCCACCCCCTCCCGCGCAAAGCGCGGAAGCTTTGACCTTTCATAGTTTAATGAAATTATTAGAGAAAGAAGACGATTCGTTGTTCCATTCTCGACTCTGGCTACGCGCCTGCCTTAAAGGGAAAATGAAACAATCATGATTGTGATAGCACACAATAATGTTAGTAGAAATAGTAAAGAACAAAAATTATTGCAACAACCATGGATAAATCACGGCCGGGAGCGTGGGCCGAGTGTCATATCATACATAGTTTGGGTTATTGGGCGAGGGGGGGGGGGGGGGGGGTAGCGACCAAGCGAGACTTTGCAATGTTGAATGCTGACATTATGCACTCTAGGAATCCCTAAGCCCAATAATTATGTACGTTCTTTCCGCTATATATCTTTCTAGCTATATTTCTAAATTTCCTGGGGGACGTGTCCTCCTATCGGGCCCAGGATTGCCGTCCATGTCCATGATTACTACCAACATGAGCTCAAATACAAGCTCAAGCGAGTTTATATGAGCTGAAGCTAAATGAAGGGCAAAATAAGAGTTGTGAAGCGCCCCCCCCCCCCCCTACCGTTAATTACAAAATTGACTTTGCAGCGCAGGGGCTGTTTTAACGTTTAACTTTGATTTCGTGGCTCGAAAGTTACTGTCACTAAGCGCCATTTCCTTGTCTTTCCACCTTTTTCACCCGACTCCCACCCACCCCCCCCCCCACTCAGTGTTATCTAGGGTACGCGTACGCATTTCCCTCTCTTTGAAAGCACCCCATCCCTCCATTGCCACAGGTTTATCTTAAAATGTTTTTGAAAAAAACCATTAAAATACTGGATATTTATGTATACTTTCTATTACATAACTTTAAACCATGTAAAATGTATTATATTATTGAATGTTGAATTGTATATATGATTTCTTTTCAAAATTACTGTCCTGTTGGAAATGAAAAATAAAACTTAAACTGAACTGAAACTGAAACTTAATTATAATAGAAGAAATAGCCGATTCAACTTTAACTTACCAGAAAGAATAGGTAGTATTGGAAATTTGTGTTATTACATTGCCATAAAACATTGGATTTTTCCCCTAATAGGCCTACTATAAAGGAAATGCAAAACTTTGCTCATTTTAAGAGGAATTAAAGAAATAGGCATACCTAACACTTCAGAGTCCGAGGAGAAAAACGAATGACATGTTATATGATTGAAATACAGATTTGTTTTTCTTCTGCCTGTTCATACTTTTTAATTTTTGTTTATACTTATGTTTTTGTACGTTATAGAAATTCAACATATTCATCATTATTTTCCTCTTCTTCCTCCTTCTCCTCCTCCCCCTCTTTTTCTTCTTCTCCTTCTTATTTTTCTCCTTGAACTTATTATCATTTCTATCAGCAGTTTAATGTTGTTATTATTATTTTCATCATTATTATCTTCAATAATTTGTTCTTTCGTAGGTTATCCTGTTCAAGCTGACTTAATTTTGATCTGTTATTATTTGATATTGTTGTTTGTTGGAAGCTTGGCTAATAAAAATCAATCAATCAATCTTATTTTGGCCCTTTCATTTCCCTCCATACTTTTTTTTTGGGGGGGAAGGGGGGGAGAGGGGGGGGGGGGGCTGGTGACCGGAATGATGGGACACGTTCATTATTTAGGCACGCCTTTCTTTCTTCAGAAATGTGAGTTTTCAATAAATATTTTCTTAAAATGTTTGGGACCATGTGGCCTACCCCACCCCCCCCCCCCGGCCTACGCTGTAGCCATGGGGTGTCCATTATGTCGCTTTCTTATTAACATTTAGTTTATTGCTTATGTAATTTTGACTTTTTCGGTATTATGAATAGCGACCCTCTCGTCGCATTATGAATAGCGACCCCCTACTCCTATTATGAATAGCAAACCTCATTTCGTATAATGAATATCGACCCTCTTCTCCTTTTATGAATAGCGACCCTCTTCTCCTATTATGAATAGCGACCCTCTTCTCCTATTATGAATAGCGAACCTCATTTCGTATTATGAATAGCGACCCTCTTCTCCTTTTATGAATAGCGAACCTCATTTCGTATTATGAATAGCGACCCTCTTCTCCTATTATGAATAGCGACCCTCTTCTCCTATTATGAATAGCGACCCTCTTCTCCTATTATGAATAGTGACCCCCTTCTCCTATTATGAATAGCGACCCTCATTTCCTATTATGAATAGCGACCCTCTTCTATTATGAATAGCGACCCTCTTCCCCTATTATGAATAGCGAACCTCATTTCGAATTATGAATAGCGACCCTCTTCTCCTATTATGAATAGCGACCCTCTTCTCCTTTTATGAATAGCGACCCTCTTCTCCTATTATGAATAGCGACCCTCTTCTCCTATTATGAATAGCGACCCTCATTTCCTATTATGAATAGCGACCCTCTTCTCCTATTATGAATAGCGACCCTCTTCTCCTATTATGAATAGCGACCCTCTTCTCCTATTATGAATAGCGACCCTCTTCTCCTATTATGAATAGCGAACCTCATTTCGTATTATGAATAGCGACCCTCTTCTCCTATTATGAATAGCGACCCTCTTCTCCTATTATGAATAGCGACCCTCTTCTCCTATTATGAATAGCGACCCTCTTCTCCTATTATGAATAGCGACCCTCTTCTCCTATTATGAATAGCGACCCTCATTTCCTATTATGAATAGCGACCCTCTTCTCCTATTATGAATAGCGACCCTCTTCTCCTATTATGAATAGCGACCCTCATTTCGTATTATGAATAGCGACCCTCTTCCCGTGTTATGAATAGCGACCCTTATATTAGTAATGAACCTTATTTCGTATTATGAATAGCGACCCTCTTCTCCTATTATGAATAGCGACCCTCTTCTCCTATTATGAATAGTGACCCCCTTCTCCTATTATGAATAGCGACCCTCATTTCCTATTATGAATAGCGACCCTCTTCTATTATGAATAGCGACCCTCTTCCCCTATTATGAATAGCGAACCTCATTTCGAATTATGAATAGCGACCCTCTTCTCCTATTATGAATAGCGACCCTCTTCTCCTTTTATGAATAGCGACCCTCTTCTCCTATTATGAATAGCGACCCTCTTCTCCTATTATGAATAGCGACCCTCATTTCCTATTATGAATAGCGACCCTCTTCTCCTATTATGAATAGCGACCCTCTTCTCCTATTATGAATAGCGACCCTCTTCTCCTATTATGAATAGCGACCCTCTTCTCCTATTATGAATAGCGAACCTCATTTCGTATTATGAATAGCGACCCTCTTCTCCTATTATGAATAGCGACCCTCTTCTCCTATTATGAATAGCGACCCTCTTCTCCTATTATGAATAGCGACCCTCTTCTCCTATTATGAATAGCGACCCTCTTCTCCTATTATGAATAGCGACCCTCATTTCCTATTATGAATAGCGACCCTCTTCTCCTATTATGAATAGCGACCCTCTTCTCCTATTATGAATAGCGACCCTCATTTCGTATTATGAATAGCGACCCTCTTCCCGTGTTATGAATAGCGACCCTTATATTAGTAATGAACCTTATTTCGTATTATGAATAGCGACCCTCTCGTCGTTTTATGAATAGCGACCCTGATTTCATATTATGAATAGCGGTCCTTATGATTAATGACACTTAATATGAATTATGAATAGCGACCCTCATCTCACGTTATGAATAGCGGTCCTTATGATTAACGAACCTTATTTCATTATGAATAGTGACCCTCTTTTGCCATTATGAATAGCGGACCCGGAAGTACGGGAATTTACACGTTATGAATAGCGGTCCTTATGAATAGCGGACCTTATGAATAGCGGTCCTTATGAATAGCGAATAGACCCCTCCTTGTTAGCTAACTTTTCTTTTTACCCTTCATAGGCTTCATTTTTTCTTCACCTGTATATTTGTATGTCCTATAATATCCAGGCCTGATAATTACCCGATTTAAATCGGTTTCCCAATTATTGTTTGTTTTCTCCGATTCCCCCCCCCCCCTATTTTCCCCCTATTTTCCAGATGTTTTCCTTATTTTCCAGATTTTTCAGATTTTCAGGGGGGGGGGTTGAGGGAAAAAAAAATTAGTGCTCACTATCACCCCTGAATAACTTTTTATGACTTGTCTTTCTTGCTCTAGTCATCCATTACTTTATGTCTAATTGGTGTTTCCATATCTTTTTCTTCTTCTTTCTAATTTGTTTTTAATCGTAAGTTTCTTGAGCATTGACTTTTATGGAAGTATATTGATTTGTTACTTTTAGTGATACTGTAAACTGAGATACGCAAATATCAATTGTGAATTTGAGACTTACTAAACCGTACACAAGAGGCTAGATATAACTTCATATCTCATTTCATTAATTGTCCCTTAAACATTCTCTTGATTTTAATTTGCGCTTGACCAATAATTCTTTACCTGTTGACAAATATATTTCTTGACATTCCAATTGAAAGGAGTTGGAATCAAATCAACTTTGCAAAATTAAAACATTTAGTTTTGTTTTGTTTTTCTGTTGCCATGTTACAAGTTATTTCATTCACCTGTTACAAATAATTATGTTCCAACAGTCAGAATGCAAACTTCATACATTTATTGTTGCTACATGTAGGTAGGACATTCTGACTACTTAAGTATAATTATTTGTAATTGTAACAAGGCTCTTAACAAAGATCTGTACATTAAATTTGATGGCTCACATAAAGTGGCCTAGGTATTGAAAGGTATCAGAATCTAATCACACATGCATAATTCAAACATTCAGGGTTTTAACAATTAATACTATTTCCAGTTTTAATCAATGGAAACGGAATTCAAGTAAAAATGTTGGGAAGTTTAAGTATTCTTTCTTTCTCATTATTTTAGGTCAAGAAGTGGAATACACTGAAAAGCATGTCAAACGTAAGTGTTCAATAAATGTAGACCTTTATAAACTATTCTTTTCATTTAGCATTTCTCATGGGTTTCATCATGAGCAATGTCTGGCTTTAATATTTAATAGATTAAGCACCTGCTGTAACACCAAATATATATATTAACAATTTTGTGGGACAAGTCTGTTTTATTATGCTTCCTTATTTCACTGTGAATCTTGGTGTACTCCATGACTTCTAACAGCACTATTCATGAATATTGTTGACAATTTTCTTTGTCCAAATGAAGCGGTTAGGGCTGTTTGAACTATTCCTATGTTTATTGGTATCTCATGTTCCATGTGGTGTAAAACATCTCTTCTTTGAAACCCTTACTTCGCTAAAAATCTGTTACCAGCATACAAATAGTTGGAAAGTTATATCAGGCGCATTATGTTTAGTATTTTATGTGGCATATGTAGTACAAATAATACATGTTTTCATTATTATGGTTACTAAACGAGGATGTTACTTGAGGATTGCTGTTTTTATCATAGGGAACCTTTCAAGAGTTAAATAAGGTTTTAATCTTCTTCTTTTTTTTACTGTGAAAGTGGGCATAAAATACTGTGTATGGGAAGAAACCTTTGAAAAATCTTTGATCCTGTTCCTGTTTCATAGTGGGGAAAAAATAAAGACTGTCTTTAAAATCAAAACACATTTTAGTTAGATTTATTCCTGTGAATGATTTCAACATTCCTAAATATATTACTCATTGCGGATGTCATCTTTTAGATCCCTTGTTGATGACCATACATTGCGAGACAAAAGAATATCACTAGCGATATTGTTTTCTATTTCAACATTGTCAGGTTGTTTTTTTTTCTTAGGGGGGGGGGGGGGGGTTCGATGAGAATTTCAGACTCTCAGTCAAATTCTTTTGTTGATGTATTTTTTTCTTTTGTTGTTGGCGTATTTAAATAGCCAACTATCTAAACCAGCATCAGGTAGCCATCTTTGCTTGGCATCCCAACCAGGAGAATAGAATGCTTGCTCTGTCACCAGGGGGCGCTATGCAAGATCTTACAATCTATGATGCCATATCACTGGTGAGCATTTTTATAACCCACTGTTGTAATTGTATCCCCTGTGATCCGTCTGTTATACGGTCAAAGGTCATATTTTGGTGGCTGTCTTTTGTGCACTCTAAATGCCACAATTCTTGATAGATTTCTTTTAAGTTTTCTGCAGAGATGCATTATACTCTAATCTATACACACATTGTTTTGGTGATGCTGCTCCTAGTCTTGACAATAGTCTGAGCCACTAGTGCCGATCTTTACGTCATTATTTTGTTTCAGGGAAGGGAGAGGGGATCTTTGTCCCTCCTTCAAACATAAGGATGACACAAAAATCAGTGCCACTGCCGGGGGATAGATTCACATTGCGTGGCAATACAAATTGCGATATTTCTAGTTTATTACAGCAACTTTTACCAGGAAGTAGAATCGGAAAAAAAGATTGAAGTGGGGGTGTAGCCATAGCAGAGAAGATACTGTTATGAATTACATTTTCCCACTGGTATTCATACTACAGTCAAACCTGCTTTAGCGATCACCTGTATGGAAAGACCACTTGTCTATAAAGACCACATTTTTAATTTCCCTTGAATATCAGTTCTCATTAAAAAACCTGTACTAAAGAAACCTGTAAATAAAACAAACTGCCTATAATGAACACTTGCCATAGTTGCCTTGAGCGGTCTTTATATACACGTTTCACTGTATATGATTTGTTTCTTCATTGTGGTTCCTCTTAGGATTGGTCTCCCCACTCTTCCTATTCTGTAGCCTCAGGGAGGCATCTGTTCTACTGTCTTCCATCCTCTGATTGCACTACAGAAGATGAGGATATATCAAGTACCATGAAGAGAAGGGCTTCTAATGGCTACGGTATGAAGGTTAGTATGAAGCTCTTTTTTTTTGCTTACCAAAGGAGATTGTGTAAAAAATGTCTAGAGAAAGATGTCGCGTGTGTACAGTGAAGGGGGAATACACACAGGATAATCATCCATAGAGTTATCTCCATTATGTTATTCTCATCGATATCCAACTCAGTGTGCTTTGCAAGCTTTAAAGGGATCCGGTAACTTTGTCTCAGATTCTGAAACAAAATTCTAGATTTAGCTCATGCTGCAATGATAATTATAAAACTTTAGGTCAGTCAGGAACCCCATGACTTTTACAAGCCGATCGCCTGTCTGATTATCAAGATATTTATGATTGGAAATCGAAATCAAATTTTGCGTTTTGCTAACGGTTTTCATAACACTACAGTCTATTGGGAAAAACGTTATGGTAAAACCGGTCACTCAAAGATTTTTTTAGGGCTTCAATATTACACCATATCAAAGACACTGATAACACGTCTCAGATTTAACATCTCATCTCAGATTTAACATTGTTAAACGATGCCTTTAATGTGAGATCTAGATTATCAACAGGAGCAGATGAAAAACACTTCTGTCGTGTAAGGAGGTCATATTGATATCATCATCATCCTCATCATTGTTGGCATCATCATTATAATCATCAACAAGATCATCATTATTGTTATAATCAACCTTAATCATCATTATCAATAAGATCACCATCATCAATATCAACATGATCACCATCATCCTCATCATCATCATCATCATCATTATCAACAAGATCATTATCATCATCATCATCATCATCATTATTGTTGTAGTCGTCATCATTATAATCCTCATCATCCTTTATCTTTATCATCCTTTATCATCATCACCATTATCACCATCATTGTGAGCATAATTATTACCATTATCATCAATGTTATAATCATCATCATCATCATCATCATCATCATCATCATCCTTTATCATTATTGTCCCCTCATCATCATCATTGTACTTGTTTATCTTACCTGTATCTTGTATTCCCTTCTGATTTTCTCTTCCAGACCGAGCCACTAAGCCAGAATGCAGCATTAGCAGGCAATGACTTGCAGGTCAACAAACTATGGCATTGGTTACACAATATCCTTTTTTAAACACTTGTAAATGAACTGGGCCGGTATTCAATTCAATACTTATGTCAATGATATGATTATGTTAAATTGTATCGCAATAGCTTAATCTGGGGGTAATTCAAGGTTGATTTCATTTCCATAGTTTCATTTGCCTTCAAGTTTTTCAATCTAGGAAAAGTCAAATTTCCAATCCCTTAATTCAGAAGGGAGTTATCAAAGGGTATTTTCTTCTGTTTACTATTGTATTCATACAATTGTGTATTTCTGGCCTGCAAAGGGAAAAACATTTTGAAGTGTTATATGTAATAACAGCAATCATTTTTTATAATTATCAATTGGTTTCAGGCATAGCCAGGCCTGTTTGACCCCTAGCTACCAATCTTGAAAAGCATGAAAATCCAGATTGAGGGATGCAGATGAGAAAATGTATGTTTTTTAGGGCTAGCTATGTAAAAATGGTTTTAAAAAGTGATGTAGATATACATATTTGTTTTAAAGCCTGTCTGCACTATTTTAACCAGGGGGGATTAGACCTCCCTGCAAGGTCACTGACAGATGGTTATCTCATCAAATCAGCTCTCGATTAACATAATAAAAAGGGCATCATGGGGGACCAACAAGTACTGATTAGGAATTGTTTGCTATATAGAGGGCGCAAGTAGCTATAAGAAGTGCAGTGGGGCTTTAACAAAGGTCTATGCTTCCATTTCCCTTAACTGACATGTGTACGAATAAAATCCTTGCAGACGATCAGCCGATCCGCATCGTCTTCAAAGTCCTCCTCGACGCCATCAGGCATGATGGACTTCTGTGGGGTGAAACAGCTGATGTGTAGGGAAGGCTCCGAGAACCAGGCAGGAGGACTGAGAAGCAAGCTAGACCCCATGGCGTGGGAGGGATTGGACGGAACGCTGGAGGCTAATATCTATAGAAGCAAAGAAAGGTCTCTACATTAGGCCTTAAGAAAAAGATGTTGTATACATTGCCCTTTAGGTGCCAAAACATGGGTTGGTCAGTCGGAAATCTTTTCTTTTTTTTTTGTTTTACTCCCTCTTTGGGCTGATATTTCTCAATTTTGAATGCTTTAATACATTTTTTTTCTGGGAACAAAGCAGGGTGGGAGGGTAGATGGTGTTGTATAGGAGAGACCCAATAGCATGGGAGGGAGTGGACGGAACGCGGGAGGCTAATATCTATAGGAGCAAAGAAAGGTCTCTACCTTGTTTCATACAGGGGGGGGGGGGGGGGGGGGCAAGTAGTAAGGTGGGGTATTTTGTGTGGGAAAGGAGAATGTTTAGATAGACTACTGGAGGTTTTTTTTTATTGGTACAAAGCAGGATGCGAGGGTTAGATGGTGTTTTAAAGAAGAACGTCTCTGCACAATTTACCTAGAAAGAGGGAGGAGTCTTCAGAGCATCAGTGTTTGAAAGCCGTTGTCTGTCCCTCCCTGGAGGGGTTTTGTTTTCCTCAATAAGATCCAAGTTGTAATTGCAATTCAATAATTTTTCCAGTAACCATTTATAGCATTGATACCGCAGAAGTATGCATTGTCCTTCTTCTTCACAAGAAACATCTTAATTTTCTCAGTCAGATTTAAAGCAGAAAAATAATGCAAGTCTGAATTGGTCATATATATGTTTTCATATTAGAAAGGACCTTTTCCATGCAATTGTTTACCAATAACCTCAACAATTAGGAGAACCACATCAATTACTATTTTGGCTATTAAAACCACTTTGAGTCACCTTGAAAGCAATGTCCCAAACGCTAAGGCTTAACATGCAATGTAAGACAGAGGGAAGAGGATGGATAGAACGGAGAGAACGATGGACATAGTTTATCAATCACAAATACAATTACTTCTCTCTATTAAATTATGAATTGTGTTTTAATATGATGTTTCTTCTATTTATGTTTTGCTTGAATTATTCAAACCACAGTGGTCTATGTACCCTGTGTTTTTTTACCATTTTTAATATTGCATTTTATGTATTTTTAAAATTTGCTCTTAAAATGTGAACAATTCAGCCATTGGGCTGCTAATCGTATTTGTATTTCAAGACCATGAATCACTCAAATATGAAAATAAATAAATATTTTTTGCTATTTCTCTGTTTGACAGGTCCCAAGCACTCAGGCTATGTGGATGGGACTTTGATAGTGATCCTAATGCCTTCAGGGATTTCACACAGAGGTAACAACCCCATTGGAATATAGACAGAATTACTATGGCCATGTTTCATGAGCTTGCCCCTTTTGTGTGTCATGGTGATTTTTAGCATCCATTGTGTACCTTTCCCTTTAAAAGCTTTGTCTCCTTAACTATACGACATGATAGCAAAAGTATGCATTTTATAAATGAAATTACACACTCAGGGAGTCTGAATAGGAACTCAAAACGGCATTACCGGTAGATGTAAGAAAAATATGTTAGATGGAGTGCAGTTTGAAACATTAAGAACTACTTCAGCATGAAACTAAAAAGTGTAACAGCACCTTTTTGTGTGTTTGAAGGGGGAGGGGTGGGGCAAATTAAAGACATGTGACCCTATGTATTCAAAACTTATGCTTACTTTAAAGCCTGTCTGTACTATTTTGGCCAGGGGAGATTAGACCTTCCTGCAAGGTCACTGGCAGGTGGTTATCTCATCAAATCAGCTCTTAATTAACATAAGAAAAAGGGGATCATGGGGGATCATGAGAACCAACAGGCACCGATTAGGCATTGTTTGCTATACAGAGGGCACAAGTAGCTACAGTGTATAAGTAGTACAGTGGGGCTTTAATACCTGGTAGCCTTTAATGTCCTTATCGACTTTCCATTTAGTTGTTTATAAAGGGAATGTCAACATTTTTCTGATGCCGTAACTAATCTTCTCCATTTAATAGAAAATACAATATTGATATCATTTGAGTGACACATAAAGTAATTTCGAATTTCTTCAGACTGCCAAAAGCCTGAGGATTGTCTGACATAGCAACAACTAATGCATGCAAGATGATTTCCACCCTGTAGAGTCTAGCTATCATGTGTAGGAGGTGACTTTACTGGCTTTTTACAAGGGGTTTCAAAAAAGAAATATCTATAGATTCTAATACATTGATAAACAGATCTATAGATCACATAAGACTTGCATCGTTTGATGGCTTACAAGTTGTGTACTGCGTGTAATAGTAAAAAGATACACTAAAGTTGCTATAATTATATAATGATAATGCATCTTGTTTACCCTGGAAAGTCTCATTAATTACTAATATTATTCTCTCCGAGGGCCTTGCAATCATAGTATTACACCGGCTTTAGCCCAGCTACAATTGAAAGGCGCTCAAGCATCCAAGGAATTTCGGCCTACCGGATATGTAAGAATACTTATTGTACTAGATTTATGCATAACTCAAAGAAATTACCAAATCTATTACAAAAAAGTAACAAAAATGTACCTTTTATGTACAATGCAATGTTTGTAGGTTAGAATCTGAGGGAAACTATGAGAGAGCAGCAGCTATTTGTGTGTTCCATCTGAAGATGAGGCAAGCCATTGATATCCTCAACAAAGGGGCTGATGCTGCTAAAGGTACGAATCAAATCCTAATCTACTGGGCGCTGTCTTATAAAGATTTAAGATTTAATCCAAACCAATCGCAAGTCTGTTATGTACATAATTACGTTTGATATCAATCGCAACTTATCAATCAAAATATAATTAGCGATCGATATCAACTCTTTTTAGGACGGGGTCCTGGTATAAATAAAATTGTATTTTGAGAGAAAATGTCAATGGGTCCTTCAGAGTAATGGGCCCTGTCTTATAAAAGGTTGATTGATGCAAATCAATCGTAAGTCCTCTAATCATTTGCAACTTTGCAGTCCCTTACATGTATCTGTTTATATGGAAATACAGTGGAGACTTGTTATAATGAGGTCCTTGGGACCAAGGAAATTACCTTGTTATATCAGGGTAAAAAAAATTTAAAAAAACAGCAATATCACCATGTTATAAGAGATACCTCATTATATCACCTGTTATAAGAAATACCTTGTTATATCACCATGTTATATGAGATACCTCGTTATATCACCATGTTATAAGAGATACCTCGTTATATCACCATGTTATAAGAGATACCTCGTTATATCACCATGTTATATGAGATACCTTGTTATATCACCATGTTATAAGAGATACCTTGTTATATCAGAGCTCTTTATAATGAGGTTCCACTGTAGTTACGTTTGATGTCAATTTAATTTTTACTTACTTTATGCCTCAATCCAAAGCAACTTATAGTCAAGGGTTGTGCTTCCTTGAGTTGTACATTAGAAAGGTTTTTTCTTTATCTCATGTAATAAAGAAATATTTTATCATTGTTTTCTTAATGATACCAAAACTGGTGATATAAAAGTACTCTTATAAGGATTTTTCTTTGTCTATACAAAATGGTTGTTATTCACTTCGCCTTTTTGTTTTATCTGTGAAGATAACTACATACAATTACATTTTTGTTTACCTTCTCATTTCTAAAGAGGTATTCCTCCATTGTAATGTGCTTTACCCTTTCTAAACCTCCCCCTATTTGACATCATGTGGTAAAGATGGCAAGCATGACCTGCATCCCGTTGCCATGGCGCTATCGGGATTTACTCCAGACAAGGACACCCTCTGGTGTTCAATGTGCAGCGCTCTGTGTCGTCAGCTTCGCAATCCATACCTCAGAGCAATGTTTGGCTTCCTTACAACGAGCGATGATAAATACGAGGCTGTCGTTGTAAGTATGAAAGCAGAATGCATTTTGTATGTCATAACATCAATGTAGATTGGACCAGTCCAGTTTTTATTGTTGCAGATGTAATCATCTGATAGTCAAGATTATGGCAGTTTCATGCCACAAAATGATTGAATTTCAACAGTGAATATGTTTCCATTCAAATGTTTCTTGCTGCAAAATACTATTTGCTGAAGGTCTGTTTGCCAAAGTAAATGGTTTTAAAGTAGTCATTTAAATAACTTTAATTTCCTTTCATTTATTTATTTCCAGGTCAAGACAAAAACAATATTATATAATCTTGAAAATACAAACATATATAATAAGATATCTGAAGTGTGAGGATCATGAAAAGCACATAAATGGCTTGTTAAAAATTATCCTCACAAAATAACAATAACTTTGGTACATAATTTGCATAAAATCAATATTACCAAAAAAGGGGAAAGATAAAGAAAGTAGAGAAAAGAAGAGGGACCATTTTATGAACATTGACTTTATAAGTCATTAGAATTTACCAAAAAGAAGTGTGTGTGTGTGTGTGTATAATTGGGTTTTTACAGACGTGTATCAATCAGATATGATTATTTACGTCTGGGGACCGACCTTTAAACGTCCCCATCCGAAAGACGTGACTCAGTTTCGAACCAGAGTCTTCAGCTGAATCAGTTTGTAACTTTCATTGTTAGCTGGATTACAGGAGCACGCTACAACGCCCATTCCTTATATAGTCTTTTAACTAGGTTGATTGGCTTACTATTCTTAATCGATTTAGGAAGATTATTCCTAAATCTTAATCCTGCACCTTTATCAGTCTCACTCTTTGGTTTTACAGTAATCATTTGAGAAATCTTGCACCCTTTATCAGTTTCCAATACCGATTTTCATTCTTATTCTTATGGTCTTATTACAGAGAGAATTGGAGATCAGCATTGAGGATCGTGTGGCCTTTGCTTGTATCTTCCTGAACGATGCCCAGCTGGTGACCTTTGTACAGGAGCTGACCTTGCAGGTCGTAACCGATGGTAACCTTGCTGGTGTTCTCCTTACTGGACTCACCAAGGATGGTGTGGAGCTCTTGCAGTCATATGTTGACAGGGTAAGACAGCTGTTGATGGACATTGACAAACAACTGTGCATTTGTGGAGCTACATGTATGGTCATATTTGTACATGCATATCGAGGGGTCAGTGACACAAAGACGTAACTCCAGTTTGGCCATTTTGAGAAAAAGTGGTTTATGTGTCGCTGAGCACTAGGGCCTTAAGGACTTAAGTCTATGTTTCACTAGCCATTGACTTCAATTGGGGTGTTCGGTGGAGTCAAGTCTTTGTGTTTTCTGGAAAGCCCACATTTTTCTGAACATTTTGATATCAAATACTCATTTTGGCAAAATATGGAGTTACGTCTTTGTGTCACTGAACCCTCAATATATACAATATCATTCTATGCCAATGGAATCTATATCACTATGATGTGCTTAGTGTTAATATTACAAGGAACCTCACCCTAGAGAATAAGTGGGTTCGCAGAAGTATGAGATTCTATTGGTGTACAATATTCCTAACAAAAATGTACAGAGATTTATAAATGTAGATATTCTTGGCATGATGTAATGCCGTTTAGTATGACATGGGCTCAGCCATTTTCTTGATAATGTGACGTACCAAGCGAACTTGTACAGGTATCATGCACCAAGCTCTACTTGGAGAGACTTTTTAATTCAGTAATAAAACCTTTACTTTTCAATCAAGGGAAAATCATAGGTGAGAAGACACAAATTATATTTGGTGAAAAATATATTCTTTGGGTGAGATTTCCCTCAAAATTGATAGGTTTTGTGGCTGTTTCATGCTTATCACCCGGTATTTGATCACAGGTCTGCAATTATCTTAGTATTGCTGATGTCTCCTAATGTCTTTTTTTTATTTTTTTATTCGGTCAAAACTTCTCATACATGATACAAATTAAAATGAAACACATGTATTTCAAATACATAATTATCATAATACAAAATAATGGCAAATATAATACGAGTAGAAACCGAAAATGATGGATAAAAAAACAAAACAAAGACAAAAACAACATAAACAGGTCACTATATCATCCTAATTCTAGCACATTCCATTTTTTGCCAAATCTATGCATGGATCCATCTTTATAACAAATATATTTTCTGTAAGGTATGTTTGGTTTAATTTAATAAGAAATAAATTAAAAGAAGGGAGTACAAGTATCTCAAGAGGTCTCCTAATGTCTTGATGATACTGCTCTTTTGCTCGTATTTGACTTGATCCATGACGTTATTATTTGTACCGTTCAGACTGCCGATGTACAGACAGCAAGTCTTGTAGCAGTGCAGGCTCTACCACCAGAGCTCTACAGGGAAGAGTTTGTGCAGCACTGGATAGAAAGCTATCGACAACTCTTAGATACGTGGAGACTATGGCATGAAAGGTTAGCGTTTAACTGCTCACATATTCAAAGCTAATGTGTATTAAAAGAGCAATTTGTGCATGCAGTCTATTGCACTGACTTCACTTTTAAAAAAATTGCAGAATTTATCACATTCATGTTCCCCAAATCTCTGGTAAAGGGGTACTTTTCACGCAACAAAGTCTGGCTCGTAATACCGGTACACAAAAAATTGGCTCGTATTGACTTTACACACCAGACTTAGGGGGGTGCTTTCAAAGGGAGGGAACATGCATACGCATACCCTAAATAACACTGAGTGGGGGGGGCGGGACTGGCATTAAGATAGAAGGTATAATTTTATTTCCAGAAAAAATTAGGAAACAAGATGATCATAACTCCAGAGACTAGATGGTCATAGTGCAGGATTATGTCACGTATCCCCTCCCCAGGCACAGGTGATGCCGAATACAGAATTATGATAGTTCGAGGAGCAACAAATCAGTTTGATTGAAGGTGTGTGTGTGTGTAATTGGGTTTTTTGATACAGAGGTGTCTCAATTAGGTATGATAACCTACATCCCGGGACAGACCTTTACCGTCACCATCCGAAAGACGTGACTCATTCTCGAATCGGGGTCCGCCTGAGTTGGCTTGTAGGCGAAGACAGAGAGCTGACCGTACCGCTAGACCAACTCACATCTCTTGATTGCTTGATTCACGAGTCTAGGGACTGCTGAGACGATCAGATGTCAACAGTTATTTAATAATAACCTAAATCGATCATTGTTTGCAATTGCACAATATACAGTGCGTCCCAAAAAAAATGAATTATCAATGTTTTATCATAACTTAAAATTGATAAATGATACATGATTGTAAAGCTTAGATCCTCCTCTTTCATTTGATGCAGCCCATATGATGCATATTTCACGCATGAGTGATTAAAAACAATTTAAAGAGAGGGTAACAAAAAGTCATTTGGCGAGTGGTATCTGAATTTCAACGAGAAAATCACATTTCTAGAAAGTTCATTTTCTGCCCTTTCATACGACTCCTCAATCAGAAAAAATGAGCCAGGAATAACATGTTTAAAAGTAATGCTTGCATTTCCATAATTTGATTAAACGAATTTGTTTTCATGCACTGGCTGCCTGCCATAAACAAACAGTTGGCAAAAGATTTAACTCCGTTTCGTTGACGATCAGCCATGCACAAAGAAGACGAAAGACTTGATGCATTGCAATTCAGATACCACCCGCGAAACGACTTGTTGTCACTTCTGTCAGTCCTAACCTTGATTTTGTTGATATTTTCTCTTCAGGGCCAAGTTTGATTTGCTATACCAGGCTCATGCTAAAGAGAAAGTGTCCAAACAAATCTACGTCAGCTGTCACTTCTGCCAGAGTCCTATCTCACCTAGCGAGCTAGCTAAGGGAGGTAAGGCTGGCTACATGGGAGGCTACGCAAGAGGATTTCAGCAGAGAAGGGTAATTATTGCAATCATCATAATTTATAGAGGTGTCGTGGTCGAGTGGATACGTGGCCGAACCGTCGATCACAAGGTCCTCGGTTCAAGTCCCGCTGCGTCCTTTGGCAAGACATTGATCTACATTTGCCACACTCAACCCAGGTGATGTAAATGGGTACCTGGCAGGATTAATTCCTTGAAATGCTGGAGCGCTGTAATGACAGCTAGGCTAAAGCCGGGGTAATATTATATGCGCCTCGGAATAGAATTTCTAGATAGATGGCGCTATAGAAATGCCTATTATTATTATAATTATTATTATAGTCAATTTCATTTTTTCTGAGATACAAAGCCATGATTTCTTGTATTAACCAAGCTTTTAAAACTAAGCGGGTTCCGTGATAAGGTGCTCGGGTGTTCAAAATATTCCTTTCTATTTCATACCCATGAACTTCACCTGGGTGGAGAGTGGCAGATGTAGATTAATATCCTGCTATAAAGCACTGGTTATGTAACATGTACATGTAGTCCAAATTACATGTACACCTTAGCCCCTAATACTGTCTGCCATTCTGTGTTGATGCATGCCATTTTTTTTATTGAAGGGGACCGAGTTTTTAAGCCAATAGGCCTTCATTTTTTATGTGCAGAAGGTCGCTGACACCAGACTTGGTGGAAATACCATTAATGCGTGCACAAATCTCGCACACAGCAAACCTGTAGTCCCATCAAGAAATGCCCCCTTGTCTCTCAAAGAGTCTTTGGATGATGCAAATGTCAGATAATGACTTGGGAAATGACAGAGCATTACAGAGCATGTTGGTCATAAAACTGAAGGCTAAATCCTGGTGATTGACAACACCTGTTATTGGGTAAACACTCGACGGTGTCAAATTTCCCATGAGAGTCCACTTCTATAGCTTGAATAATTAGCTGAATAATTAATTTGACATGTCTCGTTCTTTATCCCATTGTGATTTAAAATGCATGCAGGATGTGCATATTCACTAATGCACAAGCAAACATCAAATATATGAATAACATTGAAATTGAAAATGAGGAGCCATCTTAATTCTGAATAGATATGTATTTTGTAAAATCATTTACCCAAGATAAATATCCATTGATATTTATCCGAACTCTAAGGAATAATACCAATATTTGAGGGTTCAGTGACACAAAGACGTAACTCCATATTTTGCCAAAATTTGTATTTGATATCGAAATGTTCTAATAAATGTGGGCATTCCCGGAAACACAAAGACTTAGATTTACTCCACCAAACATCCCCATTGAAGTCAATGGCTAGTGAAACATAGACTTAACTCCTTAAGGCCCAAGTGGACCTCTATCTCTAAACCACTTTTCTCAAAATGGCCAAAATAGAGTTATGTCTTTGTGTCACTGACCCCTCGTATTCGTGTGTGCCTATTTTTTTCAGTCGAATACTTGTTACAAGTGCAGGAAGGCGCTGCCTCGCTGTGCTCTATGCTTGATGCACATGGGTACCAGGTCTGGCGAGTCCAAACTCAGTCCACAACAGAGGAGTTACAAACCTTCCAGCAAGCAAGCAGGTAGCTATATACAGCTTACATACAATCAGATTGAATCTTTGAAAAGCCATTTCTCGTGGCTCAGTTTGTATAGTGAATTAGTACATCAATTGTCACATAGCTGCCAACCATTCCCATTTTGGAGGAATAATTCCTATTTTTGTTTTGGTCTTCTAGCTACTGTTTTGTACCGTAGATTCCTCTAGTTTTTTGAAATATTCTGTGTGAAAAGTATACAAAATAGACTGTATTCCTATTTTTGCCTTGGGAGATTCCTACTCTTTGCTGTGAAAGATTGGCAGGTACGTTGTTAATGAGATGTTTATCCCTTGTATATTCACTTGCTACATTCACTTGCAGATAGAGGTTTTGAGACTAAAAGCTCATATTATAGATGATGATGATAATCGTTTTACCCGACTGCTGAGAAAGCATGTGTATGCATGTACGTAAGCAACCAGCGGACAGACAGCTTTTAAGTCCTCTCCGAGGGACTTGGTAATGGGGATTAATGCCTTACCAAAGGGCACGAGCATATTGACTTGGTTTCGAGCCCCAGACCTCACGGTTAAGAGACAACCTGTACTAGCACTGAGCATTCGCCCCTCCCTATAGCTGCAGCTTACAGTCAGATTTAATCTTTGAAAAGCCCTTTCTCATGGCTAAGTTTATATATACAGAATTACACATGTCCTAAAAGTGATATATCCATCGTCCCCCCCTCCCCCTCCCCCTTCGGATAAGACGTTAAATGGAGGCCCTGTGTAGAGGAGATTCACCATCTTTGCACGTTATGAACCCACTGCACTATTCGTATAAGATTAGGGTTGTGGGTTTGATCCCTGACACGGCACTAATATTTTTTGGCAACGCATTAATCTACATTTGCCACTCCATAGCAAGGAGAGAAATGGGGACCTAGTAGGATGACAAAAGCCTTTGTGTTAGTAATTGCCATATGCCCTCATGGTGACCATATGGTAGGAATACTCCCCAGGAAGAGGAGATGGTGCACATTGTGCTTGAATTAATCCAGTGACTGGGGTATCTATAAAGCACTTAGACTAGAAACGGTATTTCGTTTTTAAGCACTATATAAATCCAGATTTTGAATATTAATATTATTATTAATATTTCTGTAAACTGCATTTACCCTTCTAGTGCCCTTGTTTTTGTAATCTTAGCTTCAGTACAACCTATGATGAGACAGACTGATTTTGGAGAATGGTTTTCATGGTGTCAGAGCTGTAGACATGGAGGTCACGCTGATCATCTCACAGAATGGTTCCGGTATGCTCACAATACAAACTTCTTTTAAGTGCAACAAAGTACCATGTAAATGTATATTGACTGAAACAGTTTCTCATAATATTAAAGTTTGTAGAACATTATAATTATGGGACTGTGTTTGTACAATTATATAATAGTACTGGACAGACTAAAGCATAATAATAATAATTAAATAATAATTAAGATGTACTCTACTGCGCTGTAATGAAAAAAAACTTTCTAACAGTCCTATTCTACGGACACACAATAAAAATAAATGTTAAAGAGCTCCTGAAAACAAGTGCTTCTTCAACAAAAATTTGAAGACAGCAATAGATGAGGCTTTTCTTACGCAATGATGATCATCTTGCTTGCCTTTTTCCACTTGTTTACTGTAAACTCACAATTCTGCAACGAGAGAAGAAACGACCCTTCTCGTGCTCTACACTGACAGATGTATCAAAATTGAATATTTCATGATACAAGATTTCATCATGGTTCTTCTTTCTTTTCTTCATCTTGATATTAACTGTGATCCATGATATCAAACATCACAACTCATAAGCCTGCTAAAATTTTAAGAAGAAACAAAAGCTTTTTTTAGTTTTAGAGTATTAGATGCAACATTTACCAGAAGCCTGTTGCTCTATTTGGGGCTATTATGTCACAGGTACTTTTAAAGTTGTATCAAACATGCATTGGTTGATATTGATAGTCACTCTTTACATGTTATTTATTTCTATGCAGGACCCACAGTGAGTGCCCAGTCACATCTTGTATGTGTCGATGTATGCTTCTAGACTCCGTAGCAGCCGTCTCACCTTCAACAGAGATTTCAGTCAAGTGACACATCACATGATTTCATTATCATACTTAGGCCACCTTCCAGAGACCTCTTGGTCATGTGACTCACTTGTATCACCTGATTTGAGGTTTGGTACACCTTCCACAAAGCTGTTAGTCATGTGATCTATCACAAGGTTTGGCTATGCAGTCAGATAACAATAACAATGATAATGTTTACCGAGGGATGCCTCATCAGCTTCAATGCTGTTCTTCTTCTTCTTCTTTGGGTAAAGTCTACCTCCTTCACAGTTGAAGATTCTTGCAGACTGATGAGTGTGTGTGTGTGCTTACGAGAGCCAGGTGCATGGTGCAATGCTATTCACATGGTGCAAGTAAAAAGTTCCAGGACTTAGTAGCGGCCTCCTGAGGGCTCTGCAATTATTATTACTACAGCAAGTGACAGGTATCCATTTACACCTGGGTCTAGAGTGGCAAACGCGGATTAACGTCTACTCTTGCTGAAGGACGCTAATGCTGGGCTGAGATTCAAACCCTCAAGCCTTGGATTGAGAGTCAAGTGAAAGAACCACTATACCACTATATAACACCTCCACTGTAAATCTGCTTATATAGCGAGTTAGCAACCACTTTCATGTATATAGAAAGACCACTTTCCTATAAAGATGAGACTAGGCGTTTTGGCGTGCGCCTGTAATCCAGCTAACAGTGGAGGTTACAAACCGATTCAGGCGAGGATGCAGGTCCGAAACTGAGTCACGTCTATCGGATGGTGACGTTTAAAGGTCGGTCCCCAGACGTAAATAATCATATCTGATTGATACACGTCTGTCAAAACCCAATACACACACTCACAATTGTTTGTTTCCCTTTGACAGTGTTTCTCTTTAAAACACGTATTGAACAGGTTATCACGATTCATTTCCAGAGATCAGCTGTTGGTCATGTGACCTTTCACATGATCTAGACAATCGTCACAGGTTTTATCAACCAAAGTGATTTGAATGAAAATTTCATGAATATAGTGTTTGATCCCATTTCAAATTGCTTTTCACAAAGCTCTTGCCAATTCCTCCACTTTACACCACAAAACTTGTTCACCCTGTATATTTTTATTTTCAAAGATATGCACAAAGAAAAAAAATGGAATCCAAAATTATGCACATTTTGAAAATTAAGTATTAATAACCACATTCAACCCTGTCTCTTATTTGTTGCAGTACATCAGTGTCCAAAGTTTCTGTGCTGTACATACACATAGCTACAGTGCACAGTCCTTAGGACCAAGGAAATTACCTTGTTATATCGGGAATCTTTATATCAGGGTAAAAGCAAAAGAATATAAAGAGCATGGACCAGCAAAAAACGTCTTGTTATAACAGATACCCTGTTTAATATCAGACCTCTTTATACTGAGTTTCCACTGTATTACATTTGTATATACATTATTATCTTTATTATTTAGTATTATCTTTAAATTTTCCAAAAAGTTCTGTGTGATTTTCTCTGAATATGGATTTGTTCTGCAGTCAGAAATTGGTTGGTAAAAAAAGCCAGCAACAATTTCTTGATTCACCTTTCAGAGAGCTTGACGTCATGTGACCTTTCATGGCCTCGTTGCAAAAAACTTACCATTGATGGTAACTTTGCCATCAATGGCAACTACCATGGTAACAGGGCTCAACAGCCAATCAAAATCAAGGTGGTTTCCATGGTAGTTACTATTGATGGCAAAGTTACTATCAATGGTAAGTTTTGTGCAACGAGCCCATATTTTTTTCATCTGTTGAGCAGCTAAAATGATATTGGTCATAGCTGCAGTAATTGCATGTATGTTCAGTTTATATCCACAATGGGCCATATTCATATGATGATAACATTCACGTCTCAGACTGTCATGCAGTTTAATATTGTCGTCTTATTAAAGTATGATGTACATGTATCCCTGGACCAAGAACATTTTATTACCAAGCAAAACACCCTTAATACAGTGGATTCACAATCCCCAGCACCATCTAGTGACACCAGTGAAAAGGCGATTTCACGTGATTCATTTTGGGAAAAAGTTGACAAAAACATTCAGCTGTGGCATTCGCTAGGAGATAAGGGTTTTAATCAGAATTTGTGGCTTGCCGGTAGGGTTGCTGTTAATTGTGAATCTACCCTATAGGCCATTTTCGTAATGTAACCAAAATTTAATGCATAAGTCTTTGTGAAGTGCCTCAATACATATTTGTTCATTCACCTGATAAGAATAATAGTATTTCAATAGACAGAATCCAAACCTCATACATTAATTGTTGCCAGGTAGAACACAAATTATGGCTTGACCTACCTATAGCAACACTTAATATACGCAGTTTGCATTCTGACTATTAAAATACTATTATTCTTCTCAGATGAATTAAATAATTTTTATTGAGGCGCTTCACAAAGACTTAGGCATCAAATTTTGTTACATTACGAAAATGGCCTATTGAGGACAATTCCTTCAAGTACATTGCATGTTCACATTCTTTTCGTTGAATTTAAGCGATCAAAATATATTTCATGGAAGTAGAAGAAATGTGAGGGGTAGCTGAGTGCATTTTGCAGCATTGTGAATAAGCCCAGCGTGGATTACATGTACATTTATTGGATTGTTTAGAATCCTAATATCACAGCTATTAACATCATAAGGAAAAAAAGTACAGAAATTCACAAAGGTTTATAGTTACCCTGTCGAAGAAGAAAGAACTTGTGTTTACAAATTTATAAAGCACCAGTACAGCTGACTAACATATTTTACTCCTGGATTGTTTAGATCTAGGCATGTTATAATGGTTGCACCATGTGAGAGAGGGGGAGGGAGAGGACTGCCGGTAATCTATCATTTTTGAGAGTGTGTGTAGGTCTAAAGAGAACTATAGCACTGGTTCAGGACTACACACACTCTCAAGAAAGAAAGATTACAGACAGTCCTTTTTAGGACTCCCCAATCGTCCCCCTTCCCCCCCCCCCTTCCACCCCCCCCCCCTTTCTCACATGGTGCAACCGTAAGCCTACTGTATATCTACATCACCATGCAAGCCGATAGTTTAATATCAGCAGCATCATGTTATTTCTTGCTTTTGTTTTATTTTCAAAATATAATAATCTATTTGAATGTTTATAAACATGTCAAACCAATAGAGTTATATTTTTTTAGGGATTATACACAATAACAACTTGTTGTGTCTTCTATGATTCTATTATAAGTTACACAAGGCAATGGGTGATCTAGTCCAGGTTTGTATATTAGTCATGAATTTTTCGTTCTTTGGCAAGGTTTTAATTACTGCCTTTCCAAACACACACAAGAGAAAGTAGAGACCAGGGGGGCGTTTCACAAAACTTGTCATCAGTGACAAATGACAGTTTTTAAAGCTACTGAAATCCTTGCTACTGATTGGTTATCTGTGTATTTGTCACTGATTTTTGTCATTTGTCATTGAAAAAGGCTTTGTGAAATGCCCCCCTAGAGGGTGTTTCACAAAGCCTTTCTTCAATACCAAATATCAGTGACAAATCTGCTAATAACCAATCAGAAGCAAGGACTTTAGTAGTTAAACTGTCATAATTGTCACTGGTGACAAGTTTTGTGAAACACGGCCCAGAATAGGATGCATGAATGCTGTTGTGAATGACTTCCCCCGTGTCTGAAATCGCCATTGCACCAAGATTGGCAGAATATATCTGTTCCATCTTCTTAACTTGATGCTGTACACTTGTGTTGCCTTGCTCATATTATCATCACCAAGATGACATCGTCTGTTTGGAGCCAGAAGGGCGTGTTAAATCAAATGCTGTAACACAGAGTTAATGCCCTTCTGCTTGGCTCTGAATAGTCAATATGCTTTATTGGTATCTGTGTGTATTAAATCATTCTGAAATAGGTACCACTGCACAAATGTGCCATAAAAAGTTATTGTTATACATTGTCGGGCTATTAAAAGTATTGCAGAAGTTATTTCCCTTTTATTATTAAATCGAGATATTGACCTGAATCTGGTCTTTTTTATGAAAGCCTCCTCTTAAACTGTGTTTATCAATGAAAATATTATCTGCCTATTAATCAAGTTAAACGATAAATGAGAGCTAAATTTTTGACATTTGTTTTCCAGAAGTAATAAAAACCGATTTATGCATTTATTTTATTAATGCGAGAACTTGTAACTTAAGGACTCTGCTGTATTGGAAAAATTAAAATATATGGTAATGGAAATAGATATTATTTCTTATAATGAAAACTGTGTCGTGTGTAGTTCTGTGAAATGATTGAATGGCAGAGATGTAAAGAAGAAGGCCGGGAAGCAGAACAATGACAGAAATGGAATGCTGAAAAGTTTGAGCCAAATCAGATTTAAAAAATTAATGAGTAAGGTATGAAATTTTGAAGATGTAATCAAGTGAACAAGTTGACATCCATGTGTCTTTGGATATTTTCTCTCTAGTACAGACAATTTCATGAAAAATTCCATTTTCTTTGTTGTTGAAGGTATAAAATTGTTTTATACAGGGGTTATGTAAAAACATGTGCTATGATTATTTGTATATCTAGGGTGCATTTATGATTAAACATGTTCATCACCATCATCCTCATCAGGATCACCATTATCACCAACAAATTACTATCATCAAAATCCACCATCATCATCACTATCACCATCACCACCATCATTATTATCTTCTTTTTCTTCTTCTCCATCATCATCATCATGTTCAGCATTATAACATTAGTAATAATAGTCATCATCATCACTGCCGTCCCCATAATCATCTTTTCAATAATCATAATCATCACCATCATCATCATATCACTACCACCATCATAATCACCATCATAATGACCAATATAATGATAGTAATCATCATCACCAGCATCACAATCACCGTCACCAGCATATTCTTCTTCATCTTCTTCTTCTTTTCTTCTTCATCACCAGCATCACTATGATGACCAATATAATGATAATAACCATCGCCATCATCATCACCAGCATCACCACCATCTTCTTCTTCTTCTCCTTCTTCTTCTCCTTCTTCTCCTTCTTTTCTTCTTCTTCTCCTTCTTTTCTTCTTCTTATTCTCCTTCTAACCACCCGACTACTAGTAGTAGTACTGTTTGGAGAAGCAATGACTTATAATGCAGATCTGTTATACAGATGGGCTTTT